CAAGTTTTGTTTAAAGCAAAGAGAGCCGCAGCTTCGGAAATGATCTTTGTAAAGCTGCCATATGTGTTTGGAAAAGGCCCAGCGAGTCAATTACTGTTATGTGTATCCAACGATTATAATAATTAATGCAGATATGCGCTGTGTGTGCTGAGAATAGATTTGCTTGGTAGGTGGGGCACGCACGACAACAAAAAAAAACTATTGACTGCATGAAGAGCTTCTAAGCACTCACATTTTAAGCATTTATCACTGCACTGTTTTTGTTCCTCCTCCTTGCACCCCTTCAGCACCCAGAACATACTGCTTGTACCAGCGGGGAACCCTGAAGCACCGGATCAGACAACTCGCATGTAACAGAAAAGAGAGAAACGGTTGGGAAAATATATTTGGTTTAAATAAATAAATATTTGCTCCTTGACGTCACTTTCAAGAAATCATTCGCTAAAATGGTGGCAGAACTAATTAAAAGTAAGCCCACGGAAGTCATTTTCTGACTAGTTTTTACTCCTTTCCCAGCAAGGGCACTGTAAAAGAAGCTTGCGTACCTTTTGTGCGTATAACAATTGACAGCAGTGGGTTGGAAGATGAGTGAGACAGCAAAAGCAAACTGATATCACAGAATTTCATGTAAAGTTTTTTATGTAAGGTTTTTTCATGTGAAGTTTTTATAAGTGAGTTTATGTGAAGTTCTCCTCTTGCCAATTATCTGCTCTAACAGTCCTGCCCTAGTTGTCAGGGACAGATGAAAAGCATCGGGCATTGATGAAGAAACGGGTGCTTCCAGGGGGGAAAAGATTTGCCAAAAAGCATGGCTACCGATTTACTTTTATCTGCCGGCAGTCTTTTGAAAGCATTTTAGTAGCTCATCCTTTTTCATGGTTTGACGCTGACATCTGCTTTACCATGACTTAACACATTCTTTTAGGACTGTGAGGGACATTTAAATCAAATCTGATGGCAACTTGCTCTCTCGCAAGTCCACAAAGTCCACAAAGGCTTGTTTTGTTAGAGCTCAGAATGGGGTCGCTGAAGGAAACAACACACAACGGGAGTAAGACACAACAACTCCCAGCGATGTAAATGTGAAATCTTTTAACTGCATTGTTAAGACGATAAGCCTTTCATCGCATTCATTTGTTTGAACTTCCTGGTTTGTATTTACTCACCTGTAACTTCGACAACACTATCCAATCAATGCAGCACCCCTTATTTGTTTAAACTCAAATACGAGTACTTCCCATGTGGGGGTACGAGCAGCTTCTGCTCTCCCCAACAAGGACCATGAAGTATGATTTAACTGCTCCAGATGCTGAGTGAGACATGAGCCGAGAATGATGTTTCCTTTAATTTGATGGCTGCCACAGAACTACACTGCAGACTGTATAAATCAAGTATAATAAAACATAGTACCCAAAGTTATTGGGTAATTTGTCAATAGATTTGCACATAGAAGTTGTAACTCAAACCCACGCTGGTTTTGTCAAACTGCTGTTTTTAATTGCAGCTCTTCCACATATGTTGATAAAACTCATTCATCTAACAAATGGGAAGAATATTCACAGGATATTAATTCTTTTGAATTTACAGAATGCCGATGCCACAAAAAAATATTTAGTTTTTTTGACATTTAGAGCTCCATTCACAATATGACACAGCAAAAATAAAATTAAAAACTGAACATAAGGAGATTTCGCTGCAGGTTTTTGTCATTGCATCCTTGCACTGAAGGTAACATCAAAGTGTAAACAAGGTCATAAACAGAATTCCTTAACCAGCAACTATTTGCTTTGCCACATGGGAAGAGTTGATACTATTTATCGACAGAACAGAAGAAACGGCCCTCTGAGGACTTTTGCTAATCCAAGAATAGGATATTTAAAAGGATACTAATTGAATTCTGTCAACAATGCAACTCCAGTTGTTAGAATGTATACGAAGCTCATCAAAATGCCAACTGTCGTCCCACCGCCTGTCCAGAAAGCCAAAACAGTCGAATCTGGCATTGTTTGTTTTTCACATGTAGGCAGCAGAATTAAGAACAGCTCAGGTGTAGTTGTTTTCTCTGGTTTGACAAGGCGGCCGAATCTGACACTAGACACAACAGTTGAGTCAGAAATAAAGAATCGAGTTAATGAGATGACAATGTCAGCCTGCTACTTTCCTTGAATTGAGTTAGATGTTATTGTTTTTAAAAAAGAACTTTTAAATGGCTAAATGTTTTAATGATCAAAAATGTCATTAAATTATTATTGCTTAAAAAACTGTACAGAACATTGGAAATCACATTATTGTTCCTCTACATATATATATATATATTTTTTTTTTTTAACTATCGCCATCTCCTAAAATTTGTACAGCTGTCTTTCTGGTGCAAGGCAGACAAATGGTTGACGTCAGGTTACAGTTACAGCCTCCAGCAGTGAATGGACCCAATTACCATTAAATAGACATATGTATCTGCTGTATGTATTCATTACTGGCTGAAGTGCTCGGCAGGAAAAAGGATTTGCCGAAGCAGAGAACAGGTACACGTGTCAATCATCTGACTCATACCAAATGAAAATCTGTCGACCTGTGAGAGCTTTACTAAACATTCCTCAGCCGGTGCTTCGGCAAGTGTCGATGCCAATTAGAAGTGTGCTGCACGTCAAAAACAGCTCATTTGCAAACTGCAGCTTGCAGCTTTCATTTTGGGCTGTACTTTGTCCGTCTCTGTCGAGAAAAACTGACGTTTCCGGCAGTCTGGGTTCTGGCTTTCAAAGTACCTCCCAGTAAGGCCCACTGCGTCTACAGCAGAGTGGCTGAACGAGGTGAACTTCTGCTCCTAGCCTGGAGAGAAGACGCCGCTGCCTGGCTCAGAACTCTCCTCCCGCCGGTGCTCTGACTACAGATCAAAGACGGGCAGTGAAGGCGAATCCGTCCGAGGCATGCTGGTCACCGCTGGAGGTCCCACTGGTGTCCCAGCTGGAGAGGGTTTTTGCAAACTTGAATAAATTCATCTGATTTATTACAGAATCCTACCCGGGGGGGCAACAATGACAAGCATTAAGAAGATTAAGTAGAAATGATTTGATTATTTTCTTGCTGTTGGTCTTGGTTACTTATGTAAGTCATAAAGAGACATCGGTTTTAATTAGAAACTGGTTCATAACCAGTTGAAAGTTCCTCATCGTGAAGAAGGAATAGTATTTAGAGATTCCTTTCTGGAACATTGCTGTCAGGAAAACCGACTGATTGAACACAGAGTTTAACTCTGTAGTTTGAAGCTTGACAGGATGAAACCATATCAATATAGTGGATAAATACTGTAGTGGATAAATACTGTATTCAGACCAACGCAGTAGCCAGCGAACCGGACTCCCTCGAGCCGCAATGCTTATCAAAATAAAAATATATAATTTATCCGAGTAGTGTTACAAGATATCATGTACAACGGCTGTAATTGGTTGGTTTGTTTCCTGGACCACTGAATGAGTCACGTAAAAGGCTTGAAAAACTGCACCGGCTGGAAGCTCTCTGTCGAAGTGTCATAATTGATCATTTATCAAAATTAAAGGTATATTTGGTACCTGGAAAATGGTTGGGGGAGAAACCTGGCTATTGATGGGATGGCCGGCAGCAGCAGCTGGGCAGGCAGAGGGATAAATGAAGCTTAGGCGTAAATTCAGTCAGGAAGACTGGAGAAGCTAATGGCCGCCCCAGAGGCCTTCGCTGTGTACGTGGGTACGCCATTAGCTGATCGGGGGGCGGAGGCGCAGTTGGCGCAGTTAAAAGCTGTAGTTGTCAGGTGTAATTTCGGCAAGCACCAGACGCAACCCTCCGCCACCCCGGACACCTCCAATCGGCCAGGACAATGTGGCATATCGGAAGATTGGAGCAACCTATTCTCTACCACCACCACCAGCGTCTGGACTCCCAAAGGGGGGGCGATATGCCTCATCTCATCTCAGCATCCGGCCTATCTGGTCTATCCTCCGGCGGGACAGATTCCAAGCCCCGACAAACTATGCACTTTTAATACTTATGCTTGTTTTAATAAATCTTTAATAAATTGTTTTAATGATCACAAGTTCAGAAGTCTTTCCTGATTGAATTACTAGTCAGTCTGGCAATCATGTGTTTCACAGAAAAGTTTTTAGAAGTTTTAGAAGTTAGGAAATATTCCGTGTCTGTTTTGATAACCCAGCTCCATAACAAATACTGCATCCATGCCCTTCAATTCATCGTGTAAAAAACAACCACTTGATGGTCTTTCAATACCTATTAGTTTCATAAAAACTTGATACATTATTTGGCCCATGGCCAAGTAGTCATGTATCCACTCACAAGCTCAAAGCACAACTGGGATCATCCCTAGAGTATGTACATTTTCTCCTCATCTATTTCAATGAGCATCGCCTTACAAAGACATCATCACTGTGAGGTGGAAATAAAGAAGAAAGCAATTCTCTTCTATCCATGATTTCCACAAAAAAAGTGCACCGGAGCAAGGCACAGACTGAGCGATTACAGTAAAGGGGGGCATTGATGGCCCTGTGGGGTCTTTTTCTCATCTTTTTTGAAGGATATAATCCCTGAAGTTAGGGGAATCACATGTGCTTTTTCTAGCATTGTGATAAGCCTCCATTTCCCTCCATTTCATACCACTCCACTGTCCTCATCTCATGCTGATACATTGAGGAATAACATTCCCTAGAGATATTATTATTCAGAACGATACCCTCACCTTCAAAATCTCATATATATAATACTATATAACAAAAGTCTACAGAATACAGATATCTACCCCTGTCCCAGTATTAAAAGTGAACACCAGAGTTGGGTCTTATTCAATGACTAATACCCTGAATTACAGACAATCTAGAATGAAACCATCTGAAATCAATCGTCACTCAAACTCTTTTCAGTGCAGTTATGAGTGAAGCACTGACGTCTGACCGTAGAGCAGAATCAAGAGAGAGAAAAACAAAAGTATCAATCAGGTGAGTCAGTGTTTTTACCTGGTCCCGAGCAAAAGGACGCAATCACAGCCAGAATACAGATGTAACTGAGGTACGGCATCCATGACACAGTGTCCTGAATAAGAGAGCAAGAGAGGTTATATTGCAATCAGCATAACCATTATGTTGGCCAAAAAAAAAAAAAAATCCGCCCACTGATCAATGCTAGTTAAGGCAAGTTATTTTTGTAGAAAGTGTGAGAAATATCACACAGGATATCAGGATATGCAGACAGGATGTACAGCATAATAATCCAATTTCCTCAGAGTTGGATCCCTGATGGTAATTAAAACACAGATTAATTGGACCGCAGCACAGAACACCCGTGTGTATTGAAACACACCTTTTCACTTAGTATTACCATAATAAGCTGTTTACCTGCAAATTTAGGAACACTGTGAGAAGGCTGAAGAAAACGGCCATAGCAGAGAAACCAAAGATGAGGAGTGGCTTCCTCCCGATTCGTTCTATCACTAAGCCCTGGAAAAAGAACAAAAGAGGCATTATAAAATCAGAAACATTTCAAGGGGTTTCTGTAAATTATTTTAGGGATGGCAATGTCCATCAACCACTTTGGTCTAGACTGAAATATCTTAACTACTAAGACAAAAAGCTCAAATATTGTGAGTAGGCTTTGGGCATGTTAATGCGTATAAATGAGTTACTGTAATACATCAACTCCAACAATGGTTTTGTCGCGCATTATCAGCCGCTATTTTTTGGGACATTTCAGTGTTCAGTGGCACTTCAGTGTTTTCACCAACACAGGGAGGGGGAGGGGGGGGGGCTCGCGCTCTCTGTCCGCTAGGTGAAAGAGTGCTCACCTGTGTGTGTGTGTGTGTGTGTGAGCCCGGTAGGGGAAACACTGCACGTAAAGGCGTTACACACCAGTGATGCAGCCAACTGGCTATCCAACAGTCGAGCCAAACTTCGGCAGATTACTTTGGATGCGGCGTGCGGGAGAACTGTCGACAAACCAACGCAAGAAATATTCAGAGGGGAGGAGAAAAAAAATTGGACCTTAAAAGTAAATGTTGTCTGCTTGTGTTTTTTCCAAATGCATAGCTTTATGCATAGCTTCATAGACTGTAGTCTAGATTATTTCCTGTTTGCCCAGCATTCATTTTTAGTCTTACCGCCCACTTACTGTTGTAATAACAGGTTTTTCCTCAATTAGCACACAAAGCAACATGAAGAGGTGTGATCCACACGTTACATCTATTTTGGAGCATCGTCTCAGCTTTCTCTATCGTCTCGTGTGCACCATACGGTAATATTCTTGGATATGGCAGTTCAAGAAACAAAAAACAAGAGCAAGAGGAAGCACATCCCGTTTGTTTGGTTAACCCTTCGAACCACCAGTGAAATCAACAGAGAGTTGGAGATAATCGGTGCTAATGCAGCAACACACACATAGAGATTTCCTCATGCAATGTAATACTGCACGTGGCTCATCAGCAAATCCAGGGGCTTTCTTCAACACCTTTTCGCAGGTGTTTTCTCTACTTGGGATGCACAGATGCAGTGCGGGACATGACGAGGAGGCCAAGCTCAAGGCCCAACTAAGCCACGAGCAAAGCTCTTGCCACAGCTGCTGGCCTTCTTCCATTGCCTCAAAGTATTAAAGTATTCATAACATCACCATCAAACTCTAGGGGGATTTCCCCAAAGTGTTGAGAAAAGGTCGCTGGTATTTGTACGGTATGTGTGCCGGCACCGAGGGGCTCCTGAGAACTAGGGTGGAAAAGAAAGCTTGAGGTGTTTTTCCATGGAATGCACCGCAAGTTTACAATAACACAATTAATGCACACAATTTATAAACGGAAAAAGGAAGCCAATCCAAACATTACCTTCACTAAACCAACGTACGTATGTGTGGTGTAAGTATTTCAATTCACAGTGTGTGTATTTGCGAGTGATTTGATGAGTGCTCACTGACAACGGATTATCCAATTACAGCATGAAAAAAATGTCTATGTACCATTTTTGGACAAAATGTAAAAATGTTATCTTCAAAGACAAGCAATAAAAGTACACTAGCGAGTAAATACAACTATGAACTACCGATGAAACTGGAACGAATAGCCATCAGAATATCACGTATATACACACTGACAGTGTCGTTTTGTTTTTTTCTCACTTGTGACCAGTGACATGTTACATTATTCAAAGATATTGAAAGAGAGGACTGGTATGTTTGCTTCGTAAACCATCTGGACTGCCCTTGTCCTTTACATTATCTCCGCTGATGTCTGAAGTCTTAGCGTAGCTTAAGACCTCAGGGCTTGAGTTCTTGCCTGCACAAAATGCCATTTGCAAACAATCATATTAGTGCAGCATGACAAAAAAACAAAGCCACAGGCAGAATGAGTCGGGCTAGAAAGTCCATCAGAATAAAAATGAAGCATTCATTTAATAGTGACTATTAGTGTTCTTTCGTTTTCCATGAGCTCAGTTTTTGATCAATTGTTTGTTTTGCTGCCTCGACTTGCCGAAGGGCGGCGGAGTACAACGATGCGGCCGGCCATGCATCTGATTTAATGTGGGACACACAATCCACAGTTGTGTGTTAGCCAGCAATATAGTGACAACTATGCCTGAGTGAGATGGCTCACTACAAACGGAGGCTGCAGGTCAATGAAAAGCATTTTGTATGAAGTCATTTTGCATGGTGAGTGCTCTGTTTATTTTCAAGGATGTTTTCAAAGAAAAATGTTGTAATGTTAATCTCAGAATATATCAATTAGCAAAAAATAGATTAAAAAATAAAATAAACAGAAAAAGGGGTGTCTCCCAGTCCAGGATGTCCCCGTTCCCATGGGGGGGGGAGGACCCCCGCCCCCCCCCCCCCCCCCCCGCAACCCTGTGTGCAGGATAAGCGGTTTGACGATGTATGGATGGATGGAAAAAGGCGTGTTACATTTACAGATTTGCAATTTGACGGTAGAAAATAAAATATAAGGTCAAAGGAACACAAACTGCGACTGTAAATGCTCAACTTGTAAACATCTTTATAAAAAGAGAAATTCAATGTTATCCGGAGTTTTGCAACACCGTTGTCACGGCTCGACTCCGGCTACAGTTATGTCTCCTCGCTTTATTCTCTGTGTTCTCGCTGTCTGTCTGTGTGTGTGTGTGTGTGTGTGTGTAACTGGGCGCGGCCATCATCACCACACCTGCCGCATCTCCACACCTGCTGGCAATCAGCACGGCTTAAGAGCCCTTGGGTTCCTCTCCACTCATCGCCAGATTATTCCTCGATCACAGTGGTAGTGAATCTCAGCCGCTCTACGTCTTCCTTAAAACTGAAGATGTTGGTTTTGGTATTTCTAACCTCTCCTTCCTCTGCCTAACAGAACAGGCACCGCCGCTCACGTCGCCTTCCTGCATTCTTCATCTCCACCAGACATTCCGCTCTCCCGCAGACCATCCTCCGCTTAAAGAAACATATACACCGACGGTGCCGTCTCCGTGTCTGCTCTCGGGTCCAGCTTAAACCCCCCCGTAACAGTCATTGTATCAATACATGAGACATGAGAGCAAAAAATGAATCTCAATCATTATGGAACAAAGACCACATGAATGATACATTTTACGATGGAGCTTCCTCTGTACACAATTGTTCACATAACTAAAAAACTAATACAAATAAGTCAATTAAAAGGCTGCACTAACTCACCCATCCTGTATATTTTCTACACCCACTCATCTGTGGTCAGCATTGCTGGAGCTTATTCCAGCATCCATTAATAGAGAGGGACATGGCTAATACACTTACTTTGATCAAAATATATTTTCCATAACGGGAATTTGTTCTCAATTAAAGACATGTGCACGCCATGATATGGTCATTTCATGGTGAAAAAGTTATGTTAACATGTTGGCGGGAAAAAATGACTGTAAGCAACTATATGATTCCCTTAATGAGCTGCTGGGGACAATAGGTGTTAAACTAGCTTGGGAGGAGATAACACATTTGTTTGTGCTGGTCCGAGGACCAGCCATTGCCTGTATGTACCCATTTATGTCTATTATTCTGTTCTGCTCTTAGTATCAATTTCTGGGATCATGGTGCATAGAGACAGACGTTGATAGCATTATTCATTCATGCATTGAATGGAAAACAAGTTGACACGCAGCATAAAAGCCGTCTAGGACACAATGGACGTTCTCACAATAGCGACGCTCGGTTAGTGACCGCGTGCTTCAAACCATGATGCTGTGGGTAAAGCGCCAATTATAGTTTTGTTGATGTGTTAAGGACGGCGTGTCAGCTTCCGCTGGTTACATCCATAATATTGTGATTGTGGTTTGGGTTACAATAAGTACAATTGTTGCATAAAAAAAGTAGGATCTTTGCGTATAATAGGTATGTTTATTACGTGACTGCTGTTAGGACCAATAATAACTTACAAAACTATAGTAAAACAGTAGTAGTGGTATTAGAAGTAGAAGTAGTATTACACAGCAGTCTCTTCAATGATGTTTGACCCACAAATCCTTCACTCCTACTTGCCCTACATCAACTTTTTAGGTCAGTGGCTCTGACTAATAATGATGCGGCAGGATGGAAGAGTGGTGTGTCCTTAGAACATAAATGGTGTCAGACGCCTACCGGCACCGACCAGGCATAAATATTTATAGAAGTTGCCAATGAGAACGCGTTAGTCAGCTAACAATTGCAATGATGGATAACATTATCACTTACACTGATGGATAGACTTGTCTTACAGTATATATCATGTAGAGTACACTATTTTGTATGCCTTTCAATCCCAATCTTTTCCTCCAGTAAAGCTCATTAGACCTTGCAGTTTTTTTTTACTACCAATGTGTTAAACAAGAAAAATGTATTTGTATGATTTGTAATCTCCCAGCTATTCTTAATTTCCCTCTACAGTAATCCCAGGTACATGGAGTATTTCTGGGTGTATTCAATGCCTGTGTACTTTTATAAAACCAATCATCACCAAACCCCAAAAAGTATAAGAAATCTTTCCTGAGTACAGTTCTACACTGTTTACACTGAGAGTATCTGTTCCTTATTGATTACAGGAATATGGAAATTGTACGCATGCAGCAATTAATAAATAATAAATAATGAATAATAAATAATGTAGCAGCAATTAAATAAGATTCGACCTACAGCTAAATGCATGTTCTGGTGTATTAAGAAGTGTATATTCCAGCATTTGAGCATTAAACCTCAACTCTGGTGTAGAGTTTCCGTTGAATATCCCTAAATATTTGAATCATATTAGTCTAGAACGGAATGCAACATTATGTTGGCAGCTTGTTAAAGCAGATAGACACCCACATAATAAATACTCAACAAAGCTCACTTGTTTAACACAAAGTGGCCTCTGCTCAATCGCTTAGCAACGCATCTCCTGTCAGAGCAGGATCGTTCCTGCTGAGAGCGGTGCTCTTTCATCTCAACTGTGCTGAAGTTGTGTGAGCAGCTTTGCAGTAGTTGGATTCCTTCGCATCAACTTAGGACAACACAGCTTTTGCCGAGAGCGTCGGAATTATGAGCAACAAAAATTTGTGTTTTAGATGAGGGAAAACATTTTGGCTGAGATTAGCAAAAATTGTACGGTATTGACTATGGGAGATAATGTTTAGAAACCCAAGCCACAAAACTCCCAAGGTATTTTATCTTGGGATTTTTTAGATCAAGGGCAGCCTGATGGCCAGAATCAGACATGTTGGTTCATTTAAAGTACAAATACTTACAGAGATGATGGCAGCCAAAGTTTCAATGCCCCCGGTGCTCAGCGTGATATAGGGGAGAAGGTTCTCTGCGAAGCCTGCCTCCTGAAGGATCCCATTGGTGTAGTACCAAATCTACAAAAGATAATAACATATGTATATAGGCTATAGAGGCTCTCGCACTGATTGATGCTCACAGAGTTTGCAGAACTAGCACTCAGCTGTCAGCTTCTGAAGTGATTATTTTCATCACATCATAATAAGCATCCCCAAGTCAGTCTCAGAATAAAATATTGACTGGAGTCCTTTGACAGGTCTGATGGGGAATCAAAATAAATACCCCCGATGATTTATATTAAATTCATTTCTTTGCGGTACGAAGATGTGTGAAAATCGACTCATGGTCCTATCTATGATAATGATGAGCGTGCAATTTCTGGCTTCATGCAAGTATTACTGAGAGGTCCATCCATCAAATATGAAAAAGTTATTCTATATATTAATTCCATCTGCTATATTCTAACAGGGGAAAGGAACTCGCTTAATAATACCTCCAATTTTATAATGAATAATTTTACATTTTTATCACAAAAGTGGGATTTTTAAACATAACCTGTGCATATAAAATAATAACTTGTTCCTAAAAGAGACGACAAATATGAGCTCACACCTGTGCAGACTCGGGGTTCTGCATTGTACTCCCACACCTGATCCGCTGAACATTGATACTTAAAAAAGGATGTCTATTGAAAGTGTTAATAGAAAACTCCCTCCGACAACTGTTTAGGGTTTAAGGCTAAACTAATAAAAATCCCAAATATTGCACCCCAGAGTAGTAAAAGAACAATATTCAAATGATAATATGGGTAAACTGAAATGAGAGTCACATCTTACAGCATTGAGGCCACAGAGCTGATAGCAGGCCATGCTGATGATGATGGTGATGAGCTGCCAGCGAACAGCTGGGCTCCTCAGCAGCTGTAACATTGAGGCGGTCTGTTGATTTCCTTGAGTTTGAGCCTCCGCATGGACCTCCTCCAGCTCCTGGGATACATCTTTCTTCCCCAGAAACCTCTGGAAGGCTGAAAGACACAGATAAACACACAAGGTAACACACACAAACACACACACACACACACAGTGTGTGAACAAAATCCACAGATAATAAAATTCATCATCCTGAAATTGTCAGGAGTGGATCAATCAGTTCAAACAACCGAAGACTTGTTTTACTGAGCTTTACAAGGAACCATTTGCTGTTCTTTTATCTAGTGTTTTCTAACTACATTTTCTCATCTCTGTATTCTAATCATGAGTAAGTCCTATTTTTATGTTTTTATGGCTCCTTTGGCCTCCATAAAGTCAGTATTGGGTAAAACACTCAATGTTAATCACCTCCAATGTCAGGGTTGAAAAAACATTACTTGGAATTATATTTATCTAATTTATATAAAAGGAAATTGCAGCTCCCCTACATGTTATGTGACCGGTATGCATGTCAAAAGTATTTGAGGGGGGGTGTGACTTCTCTCAGTGGTAAATATTTGCAAGTAAATACATTTTGTATCAATACACTTGCAATGTATTGTTTTTAATGTCACTTTAAAAAAAAAAACATCTCTCTTTTACTTAGTAACTTTTTATCAAAGATTATTGTGACACTCTTGTGCTACATTGTGGATTCAACACGCTCTCAATGTAAATGCTATCTCTGCAATACATAATTCATAAACACAATATTACATTTTACTGCCATGCAGATGTAACTCACTTATATTAATCTGCCATTTAAAGTAGTACACGCATGCTTTAATATATCGTATTGTCCCCAAACAAATGCATACAAAGTTCTATTCATTAGACTGAAATATCCTAAATATTAAATTATTAAAGAAAAACATTTACTTTCACCAAAACCCTCTACCGTACTTTATGTGCAACAAGTTAATGCACTAACTTTGTGTCAAGCCTAAGCTCAAGATACATTCGAAAACAAGAAAAATATACACACATATTATATTTGTGAGTGCAGAGCTGACCAGGTTCACTGGCAATCATTTGCAGACTGGCAAGTTTACGGTTGTCTGACCTTGTGCAACTTGAATGCGATGGACTAGTGAGGAAAGTGAGGAACTCTCCGTCATCAGTAAGAACCTCTGGGATTATGGGGATTCAAGGTGGGAACAGGACATGACCCAGAAAGCACATCTCTATCATCCATAACAGACTGAAAGCAGGTCGTCGGTATGAGGGAGTGTGAACAGGGACCTCAGAGGGGGCAGGAAGGCCTGAAAAACTGCAGCCTGCTCCACAGACTTCAGGATGGCATAGTGTATGTTTAAGTCATAAAGAAATCTTAATTAATAAGAATTGAGTTAAACCAAAACTATCCGATTACGTTTTAAAACGATCAATACAATAAAATTCAATGATCAAATGTATTTCATATTTCTTTTATGGATTGTCCAGAACTTTAAACACCAAACAGGATGTTCCACTTTACAAAGAACACAAGCAACCAAACAGAGAGTGTCCATCTATGATGAATGGACAATACATCAAAGGGTTCAAACCACCTGAGAGACAAGTATTTATGATGAAAGTCATATCTGATGACATTTTTACATATGATTTGCTAAAACATTCATTTTGAGCTATTCCAATAACCCCAATGCAGTTTAAAATCCTTTAATTTTAACTTTAAATACATTAAAGAGACATAGTCTCATTTATCGAGAGTTGGTTTAAACGTTTAACGTACTTTTCTTTTCTGCGTTTATATTTTTGCTATTTTACTTTATTCTATTTTTTTCCTTACATTGCACCATCAAGTCGAATTCTTCTGTGTAACATATGTGGCAATAAATGGCTTCTGATTCTGATGCATAATGAGATTTGTAAGCATGTACCTAAATCGATTCACTCATGGCCACCAAACCTTCAGAGATCTCCAATTGATAAAAAGAAATGGAAGGAACAATCTTTTAACGGTTTTAACACATATTTGAATTCACTGCTCTAAATATTGATCTGGTCAGGGGAGTAGCAGAGGGGGTTGTTAATTAGTTTCAGCTGCATTGGTGTGCATGGAAATAACAATAGGTGCACTAGAGGGGCAACAATGAGACGGCCCCCAAACTGGACTGGTTTTGTTTTGATATTTCTTTGCTTCTGCAAAACCACACACACACACACACACACACACACACACACACACACACACATCCACAATAATACTCAAGGAGATTGGAATCACACCTGATCTGTGCACCACTGTGGTCACATCCCCAACCAGCTCCGGTTACAGACTTTTAGCCCATCACACACACAGATACTGAGAAGCATCTTGAGTTGCACAAATGCAATTTTGGCAAAATGGATTAGCCTGTCACATCGTTTTTTTCACTTTGACTTTCAGGTTGTCTATGAAATTAAGCCCCGTGTAGGTTGAAACCTTTATATCCATCAAAAGATGTGACATCTTTTCATTCCTAAGATATTAAACTGCCCATATCAGTATAGACATCCGACATTTTCCCACATTGAGCTCTGATATGTTTTCAAAGTGTTCCCTTTCATTTTTTTTGGTATATATATATATATATATATATATATATATATACACACACACACACACACACACACAGTGTATATGGGCTTAAACATCAAGGAGTTCAAACCAACCCAGAGGAAAAGACCATCAGAGTAATATCTGACGGCACATTATTTCATTTGCTTTGTTGACTTATGCAGTTTGAGCTGCACCTCTGCCCCATGGTGTTTCTTCTCGTCGCAGCATTTTAGTATTACGGAAGATTACGCTCTAATTCCTCCCATAAAGTCAATAAAAATGTAGATGTTGAAGAGGATTTAAAGAGCACACACGTAAATCATTCCGCATATGCATCAGGCCATTAGATTGTTTTTGAGGGAAATATTTGTGAGATTGAAAATCTCCATTTCTTCAAGGAGAGGAATTGTAGAATCTCATAAAACAAGTACTGCTGATTGATGCTTCACTGTTGAGCGACAGCGGAGGAGAAATCCAAAGTATTTGTTAGAAGACGCTACACTACGGTTAAGTTATTGTTACACTTTAGACAGAAAGATTCACATCAGCTGCTAAATAAGTTTAGCCATTTCAAACATTAACTTGTTGTGAGTTGTAATTGTTGTAACTTTTAGTGATCTGCGTGTGGAACTAGACATTGCATCACCAGATTGTGTGAGGTGGATAGTGTGGTGGAAATTTGTGGATTTAGAGCTGCAATAATAAGTTAATTGATATAATTGATTGACAAGTACTTACATAAGTACTGATAAATGAGTTTGAGTAATTTTTTAAGAAGCGATCGATTCTCTGATATCAGATTCTTAAATGTGAATGTTTTCTGGTTTGATTCATCCTCTTTAACAGGAAAATGAATATCTTTGAGTTGTTGATAGAATCACACATCAGGAGGTCATCCTCGTAAAAAAATACATTTTTTACATGAATCAACAATCAAAATAATCTTTGTTTGCAGCCCTAGATAAGTTTACAAGGGTCTTTGATTCCTTAAAACAAGGCAGAATTATTTCAGTGGTCAAATGGGCACCAGCCCATTGTATAATACAGACTTCAACAACTGAGTGAAGCTATCTTTCTATGTTTTTTCCATTTAAATTTGATTGGGAAAACTGTGCCAAAACCATTGTGAGATACTAGAAAACCCACAATTCTAAGCAATAGGAAAGTAATCAATGAGTCTTGGTAAACAACTCGATCAATACCTTGCATGTATACAACGGGGTAGATGCAGGCCTACTACTGTGTCCAACATTCAGAGGCATCCCTTATAAATCTTCTTCTAGCACAATGCTTCGAGTGGGGCCCTGCAGACACCTTTGCCCACGCTAAGCAGGACCTTTTCTTTATCCCCGTGTGTGGGCGAGAGAGTAGACGTACCACAAAGTCACGTCTGTGGCTCATCTTTGCCTAAGCGGCAGCGTCCTGAGACTGCCGTTTCTGCACATTGCACACCGTCTGGCTGCCGGCCAGTGTGCGCGGCAGCCTCCAGAGGATGCCGCTCGGCCTTTTTAGCAGCAGCCCTCCATTGAGTTGCACTCCAACATGAGCAGGCGCAAGGAGGGCTCTAACTTGGCTCAGGGACATTACTCGGGAGGGAAGGACAAATGTGTCTTCTACATAGATGGGACAACGTCGCATCGCGTGGCTATTGTTTGACTTTAAAAGCATGCATGTTTCAGGGATTCTTTTATTCCATGGTATCGTTTGTATAAAAAGCATTTTCCTAAAGCGTTGGTGTGTTTTATGCATGTTTGGCGCTGGAAAACAGAAAAAAAGGAAAATCACAATCCCTCAACTGAAAAAGCAAATACCGCGACAAGGAACATATGATATACTGTATATTGCGGCAGGGTGTTGATGTGATTGGTCTAAAGATCAGCAAAGCTGCTCTTAAAACAAACATACTTGAGACATGAAAGTCCGTTGTTTCAGCCCGTGTGTATTACACACATTCTTGAGTGAGAGGGTTTGCTCTTGTGTGCTCGCAGCATGCGTACATTACCTTTTTCTGCTCCGGCCTCATCCCTCCTCTCTATCAGCAGGTAGCGAGGACTCTCGGGGAAGAAGGGCAGCACACACAGCTGCAGCATCGCTGGCAACGCCAGGAAGGCAAACATGTAGATCCACGTGGTTTCCTGCAGTCAAAACATTCACAAAACTACATTCAAGTTGCAGTCATGGTTTATATTTATGATATACAAAGTCAAAACGGACGCTCCGAAGTTTTGAATTTAGTGCTCCTGCCTTAATAGACAATCACCTCATAAATTTGGTTAGCCGTTTTAAAAGGTCACTAGTAGGTGGTAGATGAAGTACAAAATGTTCAGCTGATTATGAGGCGCATACATTAGACATCTTCAAACTAAGAGTATATGCAAGAACATTTGTTTTTGTTTCGGTTTTACAACTATGTCGGCCCATGTTATGGATTGAATAGACAATATGGATACAAAGTAATAAAGTAATGCAGAAAAATAGCCAAACACAAGTGCATTAGTAGGCAAACTGTCACCTAGGTTGTCCCAGTTTCATTACAAGAGGATTTCTTCACAAAATGCCCCAAAGGCTAAATATTGATAAAAGTCTGCTAGATTTATGAAAGCTTTTCGGAGAAGTGTTTTTCTGCAGTTAAGTATTTACACGGTAAGTATTTTGTGAATGTCATTTATATACCGGTAGTAATACAAATCTCTCACACAGTGAAGTTGTGACCCCCGTCAGCTTGTCTCAAAACTAAGATTGTGAAGGATCTCTTACTTCTACGTTGCAAAAGAGATTGCATGACTGTACCTCACTTCATGATCTCACCCGAGCAGAAGGGAGGGAGACCATCATGCGGAGAGTGTGGAAGAGGGATGCCATTTAGAGAGAAAATGTCAGCTCTCAACTCATAAGACCTCTTTTGGGGATTAAGTTGCTTATAACCTTTATAACACTGGTATAAAAACTTTTAATCAGACTGTAAAACTTTTGAAAAAATATCATTATCATCTATTTAACATCCCATGTTGTCAGCCAGGGCTGTAAATTAACTAGTCCACAACACTGTCCATCAGACTGTGGTTACTTTTTAAACAGTACGTATGTGCTTAGGTGCAGTATAATGTGCCGTCCAATCTTGTGGCTGAAACAATTTCAACAGTCAGAATTTCTAACATTGAATTATACTTAAATCAAAGTGGAAATAATATAGTTAATAGTTGCAGTCCACAGAAAAAGATTGAAATTGTTACTCTAGAGTGTTGGTTTCTGAAACATGTTGGCAAAACTTTTTTGCTCTGTATTTGGTCTCCACCATCTCCTGAGGGAAATAAATGGCTTTTGAGCAGTTGAATAATTAAATATGTTTATCAGCCAGTATGTAGCTTTGTCTGTCCAATGTGCAGGTGGCTTGGTGTTAGTCATGGCTTTTTCATTGAATAAAGTGGCATTTTACTATTAAAAACAGCCTTATTGAAAGGAGTCAGTGTATAATGTGAGTCATAAAGTCATAAAATCTAAATAATTAGCTGGATATTGCTAAGTACGTTTTCGGATCCATCACTGACAGCTTTCACATCATTTCCAATACTATTGAACTCTATAGCAACCAAGTCACAGCTCACATTACTGTGAACAGAACTACTTCATATTACACACCCGAAACGACGATGGAGTTTGTAATGGCCAAAATATCAAATTATAATTGGCCTCAGAGGTCTTTACGCGGGGCATTGACATTGTTAAGCTAACTTTATATCCTCCAATGAAACAGCGTCTCTTACATTCCTCTTGGCAGTGTGATCGGTTTGCATCAGTTACTATGACCTCAAATAAGGAGATAAGAGTAAATTTATCAAGTTGAATTTACATAGCAGGCCCAAAGATGCACTCACACATTATTAATGTTCTCACAATTACCCACATCCACCCTGTGGGGATCTAACAAGCAATTGAAAGCAGTTCTTATCGACAGATGAACACATGCATAAACATTGCAATCTAGCAGGCCCAAAGCTTAAACTTAATACCTTTGCTATACAATGTTTGTGATTAAGTGTCTTTGGAAGTCCCAGTTCTATAAAATATACTACTATTCAAGGGTAAACGCCGCACTGATTTTAATGGAATCACAGGTAGCACACGTAACGGGAACTATCAGCCCTACCGTTTAATTCCATTTGACCCTGAAACATGCAGAACAAAACAAGTTTTAATAAATACCAAGTGTCGGAGGAGCTGAGGATCAAAAGAAGACACTCCTTATCAGCCGTTTAACATTAAAGGATCCAGAAAACCTACAATGATTTCAGAATGAGAGAGGTGTTTTATGTGTCTCACGTCTCTCAAACTCCAAACTCCAGCGTCAAATCACTAGATTTAGGGTACGCGGGGGAACTCCTCCAACCCAAGAGAGACAGCGCTCAAAGTTCACTCCATTGCAGCCGGGAGGGAAACTCTACCGAAACTCATTTGCTGGAAACGGGCCCAGACAGAACGGGGGGTCGTGAACACTACTTGTCCACAAGTATAGGCCTCGACAGGTGAACCACATGCTCCTACGCTGGACGATCTCCACACACAGTTGGTTCCCGAGGTTCTACGCTGGCTAAGAACGCTTGAGACAGGCAGGGGAGTCAGAACCAGGAATCTCGCTGAACGAGAACTCCGATTTACGGACAGGAATGAGGTAAACTGACAAAGCGAGGGTGGGTGGGAGAAAAAGAGAGTTATTTAAACCATCAGCAGATGATTACTGCAAAGCAAAGAGACGTAAACAAACAATAAGAAACGCGACATGGGTATGACCACACACACGCAAGGAGATGTGATCAGGGAAAGACAGAGGAGAAAACAGTAGGGGTGGACAGGAATCCTAACAATATCTAACTGTGTACAATGAAAAAAAACACCCCGTTAGCAAAAACAACTTTTAATTGAGCCATTAAGTAGTATTATTGGAGTACTCTGTACAATCTCTCTTTAGATTTTGGAAATGTATCAGGGGAGGAAAAGTGATATTGGTTCGAGGTAGAGACTTTTCATATTGTAGTCTTGTATAAAAATATGAACGTATACAGTATATTTGAACCAATTAAGATATTGGCCTTTTGTCCATTGTTCTTCTGCATACTGACCCCTATCTGAACTAGGTATATTTTTGCATGCTGCAATGAGCTGTAGGTCATCGTATCAAAGCTGGAAATAAGCGTGGGCTTTTGATTCGATTTCTTAGGCTGCTAAAAAAATATTGAAATCAATACTTTTTTAACATTAACTCAAATGCAGATGTAGATTATATGAAAACTGCGGATACTGCTGGCGCACCCAGAATCCGACATTGACATACATACGCATAATAATCAGGATAGATTTATCTGCTTCACACACAGTCGTGTTCACAAGTTCACTAACTAAGTGCACGCCTAATGGTGTCTACCAATGGCTGCTTTTAACTGGGGCGAGTCAACCAGGTTTGCGTCCCATCATCCATAATGAAGGATCGGCTCAGAAAGCCGTGCTCTGACCTGCAGTGACAGTTATTGTGATAGTTGTCTAAGCAGAAGTCAAACGGTTCATGCAGTAGTCAATTTTCCCTTTCAATGATCTCCCCTGAGAATGCGCAGGCTGCACGGTGTGAACTGACACACTGGGATTGAACCACAGCAAGGGATTAAACCTTTTCATTTTTTGCTTCAAGTTGAGATGAAAGAAACAGAGAACAATGTGCCTGTAGTAGCCGGAGTCTCAGCCTTTGGAATATTTTATTTGCTGGAAGCAGCTGTCATTGTATCTTCCACTAGGATTCCCACATTACAGGAGGGGGCGTTATGGATGAATGATCTTGTGACAAAGTGACGTGCTGACGTTCACGCCGTTCACAGTAGACACCTGACTTTACCTTTATAAATTTCATGGTAATGGAACAATAAATGGTAGAACCAATGCAAGAAAGCTTATCGAAAGCTGATAAAAAAAGCAGGATAAAACTTCACATCTATGTTTTCAAGAGATTTTCTTTTATGATCATTTTCACCTCAAATACCATAATATGGGGTTTGAAGGAATTGTAATGTTTATTTGAGGTAATAAAATAGCAAGGATTGGTCTACAAGGTAGAGAAATCTACAAGGTAGAGAAATAAAGGGGATTTAGGTGATGCGGATATATGCATATATTGATTGTTTTTTTGGCAAGTATAACCGTTTTCTTCTTTGTGTTGTTGTCCAGAGGTCAAAAGTCAAATCATTAGCCTTGCTTTCATGACCATTATGGAAGAAGCCATTATTTCCCCATTGGCCACCTAGCTGTGCCACCAAAAATGGCACAGCATGATAAAAAGTGTGATGACTCCACTTTGTCGACCTGGACAATGTTTTTTTCTGTCGGGATAAGGGGGAACCCCAGTGACTGTTCTGTCTTGTAAAAATCATTTTATATGTTGCTGGTGAAGAAATAAATCAACATGACAACACCTTTCAATTTTGAGAAATGCCTGAAAAAAATCACCAGCTCTTAAAAACACTATCACACTATAATCTATGATAACCCAGTGATCAAGGAGAGTTTCACATTAATAGAGTGCTGATAACAGCTCTAAAAGGTGGCTTTAGTGAAGGCCTCAAGGCAGAGAAACAGCAGGAGTGAAAATCCTTTTTGTTCCGAAGTCCGGCTCTGGTATGCCAATGCGCATTCGAGTGACAATTGGAATAGAAAAAGCTCCCCTAACCTCTAAAACCTGTGCAGAAGGCGCTGAAATTGCTTGTGAGGTGCATACAATGGCCGCTGCACGTATGAGTGACACCAGGATCAAAAAGTGGCAGTTTGCAGGTTCCTTTTTCAGAAAAGCATAAACCAATCTGAGAACGGCAAGTAGGGGCATGGACTCGCCCTTCATCCATATGCAAATGTGAATTCATACATATGCAAATGTGAATCCCGTAAAAATTTGCCGCTTCCTTCGTCTTTACAGGCTGGCCAGCAACTTTACTGTCTCCAATCACGGAGGAGAACTACTTTGTTTTATTCTGACAGCGTAAGTGTGCAAGAAAGTGAATATAAAGCGTATTTCCCAACATGTTGAACTCTAATATTATCACTATAGAAAAAACATGAATATGTTTTTTTTTTAATTCTATTTCTGCAAATGCAACAGGTCTTTCATATTTTCCTTTTGAATTAAGACTTATACAGCAAAAACACATGATGCTCAGCTACTCGTGTTTAGTTCTTGAGTGTGTACTGTACGGTTAAATGCACACACATATATCAAATATATAACATCATGGTCATTTAGAATAACCAGTTTGACAATAATGTTAGATAAATGACATTAGAGGGGCCAACATTAAACAATCCTTTGATTTATTTTAGTCCATTTACACCTCCCCGGTAAGCCAAAGCCACGTCTGATGGAGGATAAATAGATTTCTAGAACCTCTGAGTTTGACCTACCTAATGTAAGCTGCATTTGAGGCATGCTAATGAGTTCAGTGTCTCATGGGAGCTCCCTGACATAGACCTATTCTTTCTGTAATGGGATAAACATGTGTCCCTGGTGGGGAAAAGGTCAGCGGCCTATCATGATGTTTAGAGTAATTATCATCTTTCAAAGCTTATCACCACTTTGGACCACAGAGCGATGTCCTAGACCAGCCCCGCTGAGAGGAAGGAGTCCCATAATCAAAGTCTGTGGCGCTGTTATCGTATGACATCAAGGGTGTCTGTTATGTTTGTGGAAGGGCGCGATGCCGGTGACACAAATACACGACGGTGATATTTATAAAGGTCGTCTGTGGGTTGAAATGATGGATTGGACAAACCAAATGCTTGGATATTATGCTTAATGTTTGGATGTCGGAACAATATGGGAGGAGGAACATAGGAGAGGAAACTTGTGGTCAAATCTTTCCAAAGTACATGTATAAACAGTCCAAACTAAAAAAAAATGTTTTTTCTTAGCTACACTTATACAACAAATACTTGTTTCTCTTGCTATCAAGTGAGGAGAGAGTCAAATGTATGTAAGGGGCACATGAAATTAAATGTAATCATGAGTTGCAGTTGTTGGTTTGTTTTGGAGGATTATGTTGCGATGCTTCATGGACTAGCTGCCTCATTGCTGGGTTGTAAACGGCTCTCTTTATGCTTTTTAGGATGTCTTGGATGTTTTTTAGTTCTAATGTATTGTGGATGTATTGATCACAGAAATATCATAAAGGGTAAATAAATACGTATATGTACAAAGACTGACATGCAATGTGCCACCTGCCCATTTGAAATAAAGCACAATCATGGAAACTCACACACGTGCCACTTTTATGTGCAGTTATAGCAGTTATCAGCCAACCTGTGGCAAAGTGCTGCACATGTGGACAGACAAAGATGAAGCTCAACCCTGCAGGTCTGAAGGAACACGTTGGTTTCAATATGACCTGGCTTGAATGGGCACAGAAAAATAAGGAATAAACAAAGCTTCTCAAAACCAAAGAGTTACAGTGAGTGTGGGAATCAACTAACTGTTGGAGAACTATCACCAAATCTAAAGTGAGGAGCGACCTCGAGCAGCAGCAGCAGCAGCCACATAAGAAGAGGAAGCTGCCAGCTGCATCCAGTCCAGCAACCGAGAACAACCTCAGGTGTTGCTCTGACAAATAACTGCAGCGAGAGCAGAAACAGGTGAATCACACAGCACACAGGGGTCATCACAAGTCGTGTTATCAAATATAGACACCCTGCCACCGTCATCGCTTCAGTCACAGTGTGACTGGTTTAGGTTATTTAAGAAATAATACAATAATAAGTGTTGCAGAAGATTGAAGATTCTAAAGCTAGTTGTTTTAGTCTCATCTTCTATTCACAGTGCATTGTGTGTGGGCGATATATTCCGGTTCGCATTGATCCAATGTGGTGGTCAATGAGTCTAATCAGAGGCTGCTGTGCGGGATCTGATAAATGTCCTTGGTTTGTTCGGCAAAGTACGGAGCGTGTAATATTCGGGGTTCGCCACTATTCACAGTCATGTGCTTTACTGTGAAAGCGATGGGGAGTTCAAATGTGTTTCATTTTGTTTTTCTTCCTTTTATGTTAATGTATACGGATCAATGTGGAGTTGTTCTTTTTTCCAGTTTTGTTTTGTCTGACGGTGGCTGTGAAAGTGTGATTATGTGTGTGGAGCAGCTGGCCGTGCATCCCTGCTGTGCCCATGAGTCCATCAGTGTTTCAAAGTTGTTACATTGTCCTTATTGAGTTCAAGGAATAGTTGTTGGATTTGGTAGTTTAGGGCTGGTGTTTAGGAAGGAAAGAGGGGACATGAGTGCTTGTTTCTCCTGTGGTTGGGGACTGTTCTACTGTGGTGCAGTAGCTCCCCCTAATGGTGAGACGAGCTGCAGTGACTCCTTCGCAGGGCTCCTCCTTGAGAACGCTGTCTCTGGTCTTTTTACGTGGCGATTTAAATTTGGGGGAGGGATGAGGGAAGTTTTTGTGCGGGTTGTAGACTTTTGAGTCATTCTTTTCTGGTTTCTCTGTTAGTGGCTGCAGTATGATTGCTGTGTGTGAGAGGTGTGTCACAATCGACCATTGAACTTGATCCCGAAAAAAGGGCTAAAACTGGACAGCGGATATAAGATTCATTCCTTATCATCAATATCCAATCGGATTTGTACAAATCTCCAGATGAGCATCCTTCGGGCAGCAAAGAAGTCATTTTTGATCTACTTGTATTATACGTCTGGAGACATCTGAGGTTAAATTATGGATGAACAAATCACTACTGTATGGGTGGCATACTGGTTCCCCAACGTATATAGTGATTAAAAGTGTATCCCCTATGTTGTCCCACTATGGTTATGAACTGCATTGAATGCATTTCATCAACAATTATAATGTTGATGATTTGATTTTGAGTGATCAGTTAAAAGGAAACCAAAATCTAAATGATTGTAATGAAGCTGTGATGTTTTTAATAACACCGTTTGCATTTTTATATTGCAAACATCTCGTATCCATTTTATTCTGTGACTTCTGTGTTTCATACTCTACGTTGCACAATGGAGAATATATAAAAAAATCCTATTCTATTCTGCTTTTCTCGTGGCAAAGTAAGTCACATCGTATCTAGTACTTCAACTAATCAATTTAAATTGCTACCAACAGCATCCACAATGGTTGACAACTGGCTCACAAATATCTTAAGATATATATCAGATGCTATGGCCCCCAAACAAACTTACACTTTATTAAACAAAAACACCCTAAATTCTTCTGTGCTCCAAACAAGCTCCACCCTGTTTGGACTCCAGGGATAGAAGTGATTGCAACGAGCATCATTTAAACTCCAACCTTTAAATGGTCTTAATGCAGGAATAGAGGTAACACCACAAATACTCCCGTGTGTTCCTGCGGTGAACCGTCTCAGAAGCACTGACCTGTCCCAGCAGCTCGGGCAGCCCCAGCACTTGTCCTGTGAACACTCCCAGGCAGATGAGGATGGAGTTGAACTGGCCAATGGAACCTCGGACATGTCTTGGCGTAATTTCTCCCAGGTACATGGGCAGGGCACTGAGAGCTATACCTGTCGTAAAAAGCAACATATTAAGTTTAATGTGATGCGTAAACATTAAAATAATGAAGGGAATCCGTTGGTCAGCGCTGTGATACAAGCAGAAGGTATCGCCCTGTGTTTTTTTTGACTTGAAAATGTTCGATTTGCTTCAACAACATTTGAGAAAGGCTGAACTGACCTGATTTACGTGATAATGTCAGGATCTCAGGATTAGAAACGATCAGCTTTGGTCAAATATCTAATCCTTAGATTTGAGCTGGACAACATATCGTCATGTGGCCCAAGTTTTGCCTCTTCCTGGTTTAGCTACAAACCAGCTACAATAGAGTAGATGGTAATGTGTGAACTTTGCAGGCAGTTATATAAGGTCTACCAACCTTGGCATTCGAAATTCTTATTTAACATCAAATAAGCACTGTGTAAAAACAATGTTGTTGTAAAATCATTATTTAAGTATTTTGGTCAATGCTGACAGCATTTTGCACAGATGAATTTCATGAGCTTAACATTTTTGAAAATGCACTGGAATCTGCAACCAGAAAAGCATATTTCAAACGTGCTGAAGTGGAACCTGTTCCTTAGACCTCCTTGAACATGCAGGTACTGTAGCAAGTCAGGAGTGCACAGCTCATCAGACGGGCAAAATACGTGTTTGTCACTCACACATGATAATGTTCTAGCTGTCAAGACGCTGTCTGAAAAGGTTTTGTTTGTACCATATTTTGATCTCACGGAAATGTGTTTCTGCAGGTCACATGACCCACAATCACAAGGATGAATGAGCACTGGTGTTAAGCTCCTCCTCCATGATTGGAGACATTCGCTCTGAAATCAAAGTCTTACTGATAGATCACTGATCATCAGTGCACTCACGTCTGTCGAGTAAAACACACTTGGTATCTGCAAACTCCCAGAGACATTTTTTAAGCTGTGTAAGTTGACAGTGTTTCTCAGTTGTATATAAAAGATGGCTAACCAACATATTTTCAACTAACAACTACCATGTGTTAGTTTCAGGCAATCTGACCTTCGCGCATTGTCTGGTCAGTGGTGTGCATACATGTAACACGTACCGGCATTAACCCCGATTACGAGCCGACCGATGATGAGCATCTCAAAAGATTTGGCCCTTTCTCCGAGGGTCAAGAGCAGAGTAGCGAGTAGCGCAAAGCCGTTATTCACCAGCAAGGTTCCCTTCCTAAAGACAACAAAAGAATATGATTGTAGGAAGAGAAAAACAGCACATATAGATAGATACAGGGAAAAATGACCTACAAAAAACCTAGAGAGAGATTATTTTGTATCTTTATCTTAATACATCAAAAGAGGCACTATAAAGTATTATATCTAAATAGCAGAACCATTCACAGCTTGTGAATCTAAATAAAAAAATAAAACTGATGGAATGCTATAATAATGAACTAGAAGTGGGAAAAACAGCCAGAGGGAGTCATGACTTCGAGAGGAGAAATAGTGGAGTTGCGCTATACAATTTAATGAAGGCAGCTCATGATGTGGGTGGAATTTCAACCAGCCAACCTTACTACACTATTTACGTGTCCTTATTTAGGTTCTTGATCTGCCAAGAGAGGCTTTCAGTCTTTCAGAGGAAACAGGACTGCCAGTTTGTATCTGAGCATCTTCTTCTCCTCGTGCGCATAATGGTGCATTCAGGCTGCCTACAATTCCCAGCTTGACCATTGTCACCCACATAGCCCACATCATTTATCAAAATTAATTAATTAAATGAATTTTAAAAATATAAATTGCTCAAACGATGTCCATGGGCCGTGTCCTGACAGAGTTGGTTCTGTAGAACCTCTCATTTAAAGCAAATTCACTGCATATGTGTCCAAGTGGTTGCAAACACATGAGTATGGCCAAATGATGCCTCTCCTCAATGCAACGCTGCACAACTTGTCCTTGTGATCTGTGTGAAAAACACCCAGCTGAGGCTGCACCAGTGAAAAGTGGTGTAAGCTTCTTAATACAACCGTGGCGAACTGTGACCTCGTGGAAGAGCAAGAAACTTGTCTTTTTGTTCATGGTATCACAGTGAGCTGGTTGATTCGTCGATCGCTTTTTTTGGATTCAGGTCCCAGGTTAAGAAACTCTTCCGTGTCACTTGAACTAGACTTGATCATGAGTGCAGCCGAGTTGACTCACCTTCCGAGCACTCTGAGGATTATCGAGACGGACAGCGCTCCAAGAAGGCCTCCGATGGAAAATACGGACACTGTGACGGACCAGAGGAGGGTGGACGTCTCTACTGCAAGAGGCTGTCCGTATCTCTCCGTCCATGTTGTGTTGTAGAAAGCTTTAATGTACTGCAATACAAAATCGACACGGCAGAAAGACATGCTATGAATTAATTGATTTATTTGAAGGGTTTATTGTTAGACAGTGACAGTTCCTAATTTTCATTTATCAATTTTTTAGCAGTACAGAATGTGTACATAATAGTCTCTCACCCAACTGTAAAGAATGTGATCTTGAAGCAAATGAACATCTAAGTTGGCTCCTTGGAGGACATATCCAACTTTACTCCACAAGTGTACAGAAACAGACTTAGATAATAAAAAAAATTCACAAGCACTGTATAGCTATAAAGCTATATAGGTCTTTAAACTGGGAATGCATGCATTCTTGACTCTGAACATTTGTTGAACATAATGATCAAGGATTTTCTGCGTTAAGAAATGGAGAGAAATCCATGGTGCTTTTTGGCAAGCAGAGCAGCCACAGTTTGACTCACCAGAGCCGGAGCATTGACCACCGAGAGGTTGTAGCCATAAATGAAAGACGACCCCAGGGAACCGAAAAAGGCTGCCCCCAACAGACAGGCTGTGATTGGCTGCTAAAGGGAGAGGGAGCACACGTAGCACACAGGTTGTTATCGAGCAAACAAGTATGAACCTATTGCAGTCACATGTTAGGCTATCGATCTCCAGGGCTGACCAATACCCGGAGAATTCAACAGAGGACATTGCTAAGTATCAAAGTGAGCAAACCTGGTTATTCCCTTTGCCCTCGAGTATCTCACTACATGCATGCTGTGTTTGACTAAATGCACACTGTGCTGTAGTTTGTCTTCAGAAATTAATGATAGCGAATCATATCAATGTGAAACGGGTATATTACTGGACTGTAGGGATGCTATGAATATGTAGGACAAAAATAAGTAGCATGACTAAAGACCAGGCCATTTTTAGGCCCCAGCTCAACATTTGCATACCCGTGATAAAAAAAGTATAGTGCATCTGCATCCATAAGGTCTTCTTGAATAATGTGGGTGTCATAATACAGCGAACACTGGTTTCATCCAGGTGTGTAAATATCAGTATATATGTTGTAGGTCAAGACAAAATGAAGATGGCACATTGCACAAATTATAATATGCAACACCATCTATTTCACCACACTGCTTTTGCAAAATAATTGATTGTGAAGAGTTGGAAGTTGATGGTGTCCATTAAGAAGTTAACTTCAACTTCAACTTTTGAAGCACAGTTTTAAAAATATTAAAACAAACAATGTTGATATGGAAATTGCACCACACTAATTGCTAAACCAAACACATCAGTCATCTGTGGAACAACGCACATGATAGAACAACAACAAACCAGAATTATCCCTGAAATTCAACTCCATACAATTACTACTTTAATCTCACGGTTTTACCTGATCAAAGCCTGCCATGTAGCCTAAAGTTGGTGATTTTAAACACGATACTCTCCATAAATTTTACAACTTGACATGTTGCAGCCCTCAGTGTATGAATCCATGCACATGTCCCACTCAACCCTCGTGTTCATCAGTGCGCTTAGTTTGGCATGTTTTCTAAAACCCTTTTTATTCTCATGCTTGATCCAGTGATTGATTGTTTGCTGCCCCAAGATAAATCAGTTTAATAGCTCTTACTGTAATGTAACTTTTAAGGCTCTCTTAAGATCAACTGTTAATGATGCTCTTCAGGTTTAAGGGCAATAACCTCTTCAGGGACCTTCAGGATTGTTTGTGTGGAAAAGGTAAAGATAACACTGTGAATGGAAGCATTTAATACCACCTATGCCAACAATACTTTAGTGCTGTTTCTGAGTTAGCTTGTGTGGCAATTTAGACGGGGAAGTGAAATAACAGATAAGTTTGTTTAAATATGTTTTTAATGTAAGATATTTTTAAATGTATCAATACAGCGTATTGCTCATTATTTGAGTCTAATATCAATGATTTTAGCACTGATTCAAAGAGTAAAGAGTGCAGTTCCTAGTGCAGTTTGCTCACGAAAACCTTGGCTGCATACCAACTTCAACTTCAACTGTGGAACGTATTCCATAACAGGCAAAGAACAACAACATATAGACACCCTCGACCTACTTTGTACTATGAGGACTCTCAATCTGCCCAACCAGTAAAATTTCCTACGTCCCAAAAAAATGACATCCTTCGGCAGCTGTAAAGCCATAAAAACATGAGTTTGCCGAGCGATGAGTTCATGGCACTAACCTGTCCAGAGGTCTTGGCAGAGACCCTCATCTTGTGGTTTCCAATCTCTTCTCCTTTCTCTGGTGGCTTGTCCGCCATGATGTTTCAGCAACCTTTATTGAGAACGTCGTATCATATTACAAATGGTTCTTACAGAATACTGATAAGAACACAAGAGACGTTTCCCAACAAAGAGAGGGATGTGGAAATAATAACAGAAAGCACAGAGTGAAACATCTGCTGAACAGGAAATGACACTGCCTCAATGTGCTGACGTGCACATAATGACACTAAATACAACGCCATAAATAAAAAACGAACAGCAGACCTGTGGCTGTGTAAAAAACTAGATGTATCTAAATTAATCTAAATGTATACCGTATACATAGTTTATGTATATAGGCGTTTGGCTGTGGCTGTGACTGTGGCGTGGATGTCAAGCCAGACATCAAATAATGGAATCTGATTTATAATCTGTGGACAGGCTGCAAGACCATCTTTTCCACTTAGAAATCACACTCTGAATTATGTATTTGAAGATGCTATGGCTTCATCACATGGTTCAAATCATTATGACAATTTGAGGATGTTTCTGATATTTGAGGCGTGACGAATAATACAATGTCAAGAAATAATACTAATGAAATATTGCCAGCACTAGAGCAGCTCAAAGGTAGGCCTACTGTTACTATTACATAAAGGGCAGCAGGAGATTGTTGGTAACATACTACTTAACACAAAAACATATGTTTAAAAACAAATAATATTTATGGAGACAATTACTTAAAAAAAAAGGATAAGTGGTTTGAAGATGGATGGATGGAATTACTTTTAAAAGTATTTCATTACAAAACATCCCAGTGGAAAAACGCATTAAAAAGTTTTAGTTAAAGAACTTTGAGCCTCTTTCATTGCTCCTAAAGTTTAATGGATAATATCTCAGATAACGGTTTGGTATATAGCCCCTGACATGGACGTGACGTGGATAAAAGTCAAATAAACACATTTTCACCAAAATGAGTGAGAATAATCACTATGGGAATACATACCCAAGCACGGTTGTGTATCCGAGGCTTTCAGGAAGGATACTGACCCATCATTCTTGACACATCACAGTCCTTCAGACATCCACAGATTATTAACTCGGATAAGCCCCTCCCATTCGCTCTTGCTAATGTACTGTAATCTTTGGGTCAGCTACAATGGAGGGAAGAGAAACATTAACTACATGTTTGTGCTAACGCTACATTCCCAGCTGGCTGCCTTCCCAAAGTCAACCCCTATTTCGAAAGGTCACCTTCTTGGTGACCAAATTCTGATGTCACTTCATGTTAGTTTTAGAACCATGGTCAGACCACTTGATTGACTGGTTTGGGCGTCGTGGTGACCTTCTGTGGTCCTATGGTAACAAGAAAAGGGGAGGTAGAAGAAGACTCGTCGTGTAATTGGTCCGCCAAGCAGTTCAACTGGGGATCCGGGTGAATTGTAGCTGATGGATCACCAGGTAGCTTGTTGTGTGATGCGGCAGTTTCCACAAGTTGCAGAGGTTGCGTGTTGACGATTGTTACACTGCCCGGTTGACTTTCACCTTCAGGCTCAGCCAAGTCGTTTTGTTTTTCTTGTGCATTAAATAATATTTCCTCAAAACAAAATGCCCAACGCTGTGTAGTGACACAGAGCCCTCTTATAGTATGCACTGCAGCCAGACACTAGCACAAGAACTGGTTCAAGGGTCATTTCCAATTGATAATAGTAAAGACATTGTGGTACTCACCTTAAACAGTGTTTATACGTCATGTACCGGTAACTGGGCAGAAGTAGAAATTCTAAAGATTGGAATTGTAATTTAGACAAGTTTCTCCGACCATTGGAACCATAAGTACAATCCACGTAGAGTGCTCTCCTAGCAGATCCACGCTCCATTGTTCTGCGGTATTCCTTGCAGCATTCCTCCACCCCAACCGGGGAAAAACGTCCTCAGCTCAGACGGTATTTCAATTAGAGGAAACACGTAATATCTACTCTAGAAAGAGTACTCCTTGATATAAAGAACTACAACACATCTCTAGACACAGAACAAAAAGATTCTGCTAACGGTGAAGCTATTGCAGAGATCCCTCCAAAAAAAAAAAAAAAAGCCCTCTCCTCAGGCATCTTCTTCAATGATCAATGGCCACTTTGTTCTCTCTTGGCTTCACATGAGTTATAATGTTTGAACTACTGCCTGGCAGCTATCGTAACTCCAAACATGTGAGCCCAATTTCTGCAGCCCAGGCATCGAGGATTGAGCATCTAGAAGGGTGTGATATTTGGAACAATTGCCCAGAATGTGGCCAAGTAATGAAACTCGTGAGCAAGCGCCCCCTTTGGGAGTTATTTACTCCCCCAATGTCTATTTACTACCTGGAATCTTGGCAGCGGAGGTGGATAGACCTTAAATGTCCATTGACACTCCGGGACAGAGCTTTCAGAGCAGAGACTCTACGGGGAGAGTGTGCCGGACCATCGAGAGTAGCTGACATCTTCTTTCTGCGTTTTATTTACATTCCATTGTCAGCTACACCATTTTCTAAAAGGTTTATACTCACATCAAAATCTACTGGATCTTTTAACTCTTTCTGTTTGATTGTACACAGCGACAGCTACTGAATAGCATTGCAGCAGCATTGCATGTGCATCGTCGTATTGCAGCGTCGGGGGGGGGTGTAGTAGTCGTGCGCTCTCTGTTCGCTGGTGGGCGGAACTGCACGGTAAGAGGACAATTGTAAACGTGAAGAAAAACGCCTGGTGACGCGTGGGGAATCTGTCAGAGGGACGAGCGCGCATAATTAGGAGAAGTCAATTTTCAAAATAAAACGTTTTTCAGAAAAATAATAAAAAATTCTTTCTGTGGTGCGGCCCGGTACCAAACGGCCCACGGACCGGTAGCGGTCCGCGGCCCGGTGGTTGGGGACCACTGGTCTACATGACACGCAGTTATACGCCGTATACCCACTAACAAAAGCGCAATGACATGTAACAACATCGGTGGGACAGAACGTTCGCACTTTCATTCAGAAATTCACCCTCGTCTGTTTGTAGAGTCAGAGCCGTTCTCTATCCCTCTGGGAGTTTTCAACAAAGTTTAAAAGTAACGAGATATGAAACAACAGACCCAAATAACACGACTTCACTGTTTTCAAAAGTCGGTCCCTGAAGCTACTGCCGCGTCAGGTGACACTGCAGCTGCCCAGATCATGATGACCCGATGGTTAACGTTACCGTTACACAAAACCAGCCCAAAACATTCTACCGCAGCGTTACTGTTACCTGGGAAGTGAGAGGGGCTTATATGATATGGTGTGTGTTTGTGTGTTTAGTGTATGAGGTGTCACTCTGGGACGGGCAAGTATGAGGCTGGGAGGGGAAAATTACAGTATACTCACTACTAAAAATATAGACTGCACCACTGCATTTGTCCTAAATAAGTTGTCAGTTAGAGTCACACTATTGATTCTGTCAACATTGCAGAGTAATTCCGCAACGCATGTGCTAGATTTTTTTTTTCTCAAAGAACTCTTTTTGCTTGATAATGATGTCAGCAGCTGTGTTAAAAATTGACTTTCCTACTTTGCCAGCGGCTCAGCGGTCCACAGAGAACCTTTTATACTTCTACAACTTTGTACAGACTAGTTATTACGAAAACAAATTGAAATATCACAAATATGTATTTGATAGCAGGATCATTCATTCTCTCAAAATGAATTAGGGAAAAAGAACTTACCAACCACTCTGAAGATCTTTGCCCTCCAAAGTGCGGATCCCAGAACACAAGTAACTGCAGGCACACAATTAAAAAGACGGCGTTATCACGTGAGAACTAGCTGGCTAACTTAATTTTCTGTGGCTGGACATGAACCAAGAGTGGTTGCAGTCACACAGTACCGTTCTGCTAACCTTCTGCTTCTGAGCAGTGCACCATGTGGTTTTGCTAAAGTTAATAAATAAGTTTACAAGGTTATATTTCACTTCCTGCATTTGAATTCCCGCATTTTTAAACAGGTCATATAGCTGACGCTTTTATCCAAAGCGACTTACATTGCATTTTTAACCTGTAGATTTTTATATTTTTGCCAAGGGAGCCATTAGTGGTTAGGTGTCTTGCTCAGGGACACTTCAACATGGGACATGGAGCAGCCTGGGTTCAAACCGCCAACCTCACGGTTCCCGGCACACCCTCTCTAGACCAGGCGCCCCCGTCCACCCATCTTCAGCTTGGACATTTCCACATAGACATTAATAAGTCCTTCATAGATTATATAACCTGAGAAATATTCAAATAATACACAAGTATAAGACTTTTGAAACCTTATGATGTCTGAGTCCGTTTACGGAGCTATTTAAGTGAACTTTAGTTGACAAATGATTCATCTTCCATTGCAAAGAAAATACCTAAATGTTACTTTCTGTACAACCATTTACATTTACAATCTACAAGTGTGTATCTTCTTCTTACCCTTTAAGATTTCCTTACAGGTTGCCCTGACAAACCCGGCCAAGCTGGTCCATTTTGAACCAAATGATGGTGAGTTCCAGCTATCAGCCGCTCACTCTAATAGCAGGATCGAAGCCCACATGCTGTGTAGTCAGCAAATCAGCACTTCATTGTTTGACCCACCTCTGGTTAGTGACTAACCAGTGGCGGCCAAGGTGGGAGGAATATAGGCCTTTCTGAATTGTTTTTTTTTTCCTTTAGCTGTTATGAATATATGTTATGAACCCCTCTTTTCCCTTTAGCCGCAAGATTGGTGTGCTGAAGATTGGTATCAGCAACCTTTGCGAGGAAGACATTTTTGTCCCTTTGTTTAAACCAAACCTCAACGAAGAAGACAACCGGGTCGGAAGACCCAAAAGAGGGCCGAACAAACTGTCCACACAGCGGGAAAAGAAAGAGTCGCATCACAAGCAAAGCGTGTCCAAGATGATGAGACAGACCGCTGCCGCGCTGTACAACTCAACGCCTGTGCACATCACAACTGTCAGAAATAAAATACATTTCCAGATGTGAATCAGTGTGATTTTAATAGACCTAAATTCATTTGCTAAAGTAATGTTGGTAATTACAGGAGCAGGAGGAAAATGTATTTGTCATAACAGTTTGTTTAACATTAGGAAATCCATAACTTGCCTTTCTCGTATGTTTTGAGTCTGTGAAGTGTCTTAAAAGAGTATTTGCTAAAGTAGCTAAAGGGTTACCAAATGTTTACAGTATCGACAGTGACTGACCAAAATCATCTGCCGGTCAACATTGCGTAACATTGATTCACCAGTGAATAATCTACTGGCCTACTTGTACAGATAACTGTACAATACGTCACTTTTATAGCACTATAAACTATATATCAATAAAGAGAATTGCAACATCACCTATTGTTGAAGGTCATGAATTTTCATTTGGTGTTTTGATGACATATTTAGACATGGAAATGAAGTAAGACAAGACGTACTAAAATATTTCCGATCATCTTAACAGTTTCCAATAAATTAAAAGGTTTGTGGGCCTCGCTGGATGACCGGACACTGATTTAGTTATTGAGTCAGGGATCCTGGAAGAAGCTTTGCACCCAGAGGATCTCTGCTGGCAGGTTTAGTGTCCTGCGGGAAACTGGTTTTAAAAAGCCTCGTCGGATGCGGTCAAAGATACTGCGGTGCCCGTATATACTGACAATTACGGTGTTAAACAAGTAATCGCAAGAAAAGCTATTTGATCAAAGATTCTGGACAATGACTAAAGAATGTGTATTCAGACCATTCTGAATACTATTGTAAAAAAAAGAATACTTTAACTGTACAAAGTTAGATAATTAAGTAAAGCAAAAGCCCATATCTGCCAGTTCGAAAAGACCATTTCTTGTCAAGTATTTTTACAACTACATGAGTAGTCAGAGAGTTCTTGTACACTCATACTTGTCATTGTCCGGCATTTTGTCATTTAAATACCCTTTATTCGGGTTACGCGTTTAATACCGTAAATGTCAGCATATACGTGCACTGAAATTCAAGTGTCTGTTGAGTTGACCGCGGTGGTAAAATCAACAATTAACAACGTATCCTCGGATTAAAGGACACCCTACTCTCTCAGACCTGAAGGCTTTTAATGTGAGACTAAGTGTAGCTGTTTTGCACTGTTCACAATTCAGGAGTACTAAAGTTTTTGCGGTTTCGGTATTACCACCATAGATCAACACAGCCCTCTGCTACAAAAAGTGTTTACGGCTCACCTGCAGGCCCCTATTCGTCGTACGTGGTTCAACTAAGTTGATCAAATGTCCCATTATCCAGCTCAAATTAACGAGATGATTGATGTCAGGCTATCTCGGTTCTTTGAAGGCTGATCCGCGCTCCAAACGTCTCGATAGTTTGAACCAGACGTCAGTTATCAGGTTAATCGCGCGTGCGCGTCCAACGTTAGAAGGCGGAACAGTCGATCACCGAAACCAGGATTTTTTAAAACCGTACAAAGGAAAATGAACTCAAAGAGTGTCTTTTTTCACCATTGGCGAGCAGGAGATAATCATGAACGCATAATTAAGATCAAATAAACGATTCCGGTCTTCAGCATCGATAGCGCCCGCACAGGACGTCATCGTGATGTCATCTCGGCTCTCTATAAAACGATAATCTAACTGATATCGCTCCTTCATCAAATGAGGAAGAGAGCTGCACCCTATTTTTCCGGGGGAGTGGCGAACTAATCCGGCGGGCTCAAATGAACCTGCGCCGGAGCTAACTCGCCTAGCCACGCACGAGGAACGGTGCACTGGCTTGGAATGTGGCTTCGTCGAGCTCGGGTTACTCCCAATATGGTCGGGGAATCAGATCTTACGAGGCCTGGGTGCAGCCACGTCTGTACTAAAACGTGTCAAGGATCACACGGCGCACGTTCGCACCTGAACGCCCCGGAAATAGTGTTTGACCAGGACAAAGAGGGTGCAGCTGCGTGAAAGGGAAGATGCATAAAAATGTTTTATTGACCACTTCCATCTTGGAAGAAAATGCATACACATGAGTACATGACAAGTGCAGACAAGCATAGTGGGCCCAAAGAAAAAGCACAGCAACAAGGAACCTTCAACCGAACTGACAGAGCGCCTTGGTTGTCCACGTACCCATTAACACGCCCCAGCTCAGCAGGAAGAGATGTGATACATACAAAGTATAAAACCTTACACAAAGCAAAAACACACCCATCCCCTTACACCATGAAAACTGAGGTGTCAGGCAACTATTGCTTGGATCATCTACTATTCATTTCAGTAATGCAACCAAATAAGGTTTAATTTCTTTCCAACATAACTTGATTGAAAAAAAAAAAAGTTGGTACATTTAGTTCAGATGCATTGAGCCTAAAGATTTTAGTTTAAGTGGCGTGAAAGCAATTACCTATGGAATGTTGAGCTTACAAATATTGTGGGTCCACATTGCTCAGAGATGTAAAAGTACTCATTGTTACGTCCGATATTTCAACAATCGGTTTATGTGGTAAGTTGAGGTTATTCACATCAAAGAGACATATCTCGAATCATTTTTATAGGAGCTTTCCCCATTCAACCGTTTACAATCTCAGATGTTTACAGCAAACAGTAAAAGCAAAGATTGAATTCTACAGTAGTCCTTGTCCCTGGAGAAGCGGAGGTTTGTCTGCTTCCAGCTCAGTATGTAATCGTCCACTGCTTAATGCTGGCATCATGGGAGGTGGTGACCAGAGTGTGCTCATCTACCCAAGCCAGGCCAGTAACGTGGTGCAACCGATGAGTGTCTGCAGAAATAAAAAGAACATAACATCTTTGTCAAGACACCTTCAGCAGTGGAAAGTGTTAAATTGAAACGCAAAGACTAGTAACAAACTTGAATTTGTTAAGAATTAATACATACCGACCTATGAACTAAAGTTGTAATTTGTATAAAGTATACCCCGATTCTGATACCAAATGTAAATGCCCCATGAATGGTTACTACTCAACACCAGTTCAACACTGGTTTCTGTAGTTCGGCTCAGGTAAAAATGGCCCTTTTTGAGTTTTGATATTGTTGCCGAGTGGATTTATATGGCGTGACTTCCGATCACATTGCGTAGACCTGTGTTCAAGCGAGGCATGAGTGATTGCACATGTGCACCTACCTGAGAGCTTAACCCTCTTGTCTGGATCAGAAATGGTCCAAATGAACACCATCATGTCCATCCCACCAGTCGCAAAGTGCTCGTTGTCAGGTGACCATGCCAAAGTCACTGGTTTGGCGTGGTGGCCATAGAACTCATTTTTGACCTGGTGAAAGAAAAAATACATACATAACAAGATACAACCATAACTTTTACAAAACTACAGTAGGAACTAGATATAAAAAAGAAATTGAAGATAGGCAGAGAGGTTTACCGAGTAGCTGTCAGCCACGGTGAACGCAGTGGCAACTTTCTTATCATCGATGACAGCCAGATAGGCTCCATCGTTAGAGTAGGCCATGGCTGTGACCGCGCCTGTTGCCTTGATAGTCTGACCCTCGTCCTTCAGAGTGTTGCCCTGAATCGAGTACAGACGGATGTCCCCATCCTAAAGAGAACAAAAAGGGCATCAATCTCATGGGTGTGTAGTTTCCTGTGGTGGCTCCATGAAATGAAGCATTACGAAAGACCAAGATGGGCCAGTATCCCATTAAACCTGAAAGCAGTTTCTGAGTCAGAGCTCAAGAGGATCTTTGCGCTAAAGATTGTCACTTACTGCGCCTCCCACCGCTGCAACGGTGCCCCCAGGATGGATAGCTCCCACCTCGGCTTCATAGTCCAGATTGTCCAATGTAAAGACTTTCTTCTTATCCTTTAGCAAGACAATCTAGAAAAAGTGTGATGAAGAGTTATGCCACCAAAATAAGACAAAGTTTACAGACAGACGTAATAAAGGGTACAAACATCAGCGTGATCATGTTAAAAAGCTTGAGGTGCAATATTGTGTCCACAGCGAAACAAGCGTATAACTACTTATGGCAATGATGTAAAGGCATACCTGCCCAATGCACACAGCCACTGACAGCCCTCCTGAAGCTGCAGACACACTTTTAGGCTGGAAATCCATCTTCACCACATCAGAAGCACTGAAAACAACCAGTTAGAACGCTAAGTGAGTTTCTAGGTGATCCTGACAGAGGTGGAGAAATTAGGGAATTCTGAAAGCCAAGTAGGTACTATTTACTCAAATATAAAAAGGGACTATGGAGTACTTGCCATGTCGTGCACAAGGCACCACCACATTGAATTTGTAAAAATGAACAGGTATTATATCTGCCCAGAAACCATAACTACAATAATCCAGACCTTATTTTGAGGGAACCAGGTTGTGAAATCTGGTAAAAAAACATTGCTCTTGTTTTTCCAAAAACACTTTTATCCAAAGCACTAAAGTTCCCTCAAGTATCACCATTACTAATTACGTTCACAGCAACACACGAGGACCCCTACCTGTACTCTGTCTTGTTGAGGTTGGTGTAGCGCAGTGTATCATCCATGCTGCACGTTACCAGCTCGCTGGCCTGGCCGATCACCATCTGGCTCACCTGGTTGCTGTGGCCCTTCCCGGTGAAGCAATCGTTTTCCCCAGTTTCAGCATCCCAGTAATGTGAAGCTTTCGTTAAGGGAATACAATCTACTAGTTGTCATGTATATTTGCCAATGCAGAAAGAAAAGGAAGAGATAATGGAATGGTACTACCTCAGCTGGAATAATTTCAAAATGTGGGCTGCGAGACAGTCATGCTAAATGACTCCCAGAGTTCACTGCTAACAATGATAAAAAAATAAAAAATAAAATAAATTAACATTTTCCAAGTTCATCCACAGCAGTCTATCTGCAATGTCATTTAGTCATCAACATGTACAGAATTGTAAAACCTATTGGACAATTCCAGGTACACTGTAATGGGTGACCTTGTTTATCAGTGAAAGGATATTGATGTGTCCATCGTGACTCCCCGAGTAGATGTATGGTCGTCCATCCTTTTTGTGGACAGTCACACACTGGATAGATTTGCTGTGACCCTGTTGGATAATTTAGTGCACATTTCCAGATAAGGACATATAATGACATATCGGCAACTCCAAAACAGCCTTTTTCTTGGTTTTTCCCCACTTAAGGAAGACTGAATTAACTATCACAAGCTTTCATTGGTATAAAGAAACTCTACTGATAATAGTCAGGAAGAGACACTGACCTTGATCGTGCGTATGGGCCGGTTGGGGTTGTTCTTGTCCAAGTAGTTGATGTACCCTGACAAGGAGATCGTGAGGAGGTGGTCATTCTGCCACAGGCAGCCCAGCTGCTGGTCTGTCACTTCAGTGCCCAGGTTGAAGGTGGTGACGGCAGTGCCTGCACCGACATCCCAGAGTTTCACCGTCTTGTCCCCCGAGGCAGAGATCAGTTGGGAGCTGTCAGGGCTCCAGCTGACCTGAAGGATTTAAAGCAGGGTGGGATTGAAAGAGAAGGTTATGATATTAATGTGCAGCTAATCAAAATTGCAAATTTTGGGTGTAAAGAAAGTGCACTTGAAGAATGAGCATTCACTCAACAGAACCACAAAAGACTTTAATGTAATAATGAAACGAATGAAAAAAACAAAACAATAAAAAAGAGTGACTTCAGGACAGGAGGAGGCTTCTTCAGAACACATAATCCCTAACTCTGAATAAGAAAAATGAACACTATGTGTACACACACACACACACACACACACACACACACACACAGAAACCAGCTCTCCTCAGAAACGAAACCCACCCAGCTAACACATGTGAATGTGGCATAAATGTATACTCTTTTCACAGAAAAAAAAGGTAGCTCACAGCATAGATTCCTCCTTTGTGGGCCTTCTCTCCACCCAGTGTGGAAATAAGTGTCCCTTCCTTCCCATCGTGGAGGAACAGCTGCAGAAACAACACTCATTAGTCACAGATTACTACACAGCAACAGCCTGTGATTTCGGTTTACATTAACCAGCTACTTAGTTGGAGTCATCCTCAGATCATTTGCATTATTTAAGTAAATGTCATGATAGTTTCTCTGACTATTATGGGTAATATTTAAAATATATGGTCACGTGACCATACCTGGCAATGCAAAACTCACCTGGCCATCAGCACCAGCTGTGACAAACCGATTTCCATCTGGAGAGAAACGAACACAGTTGACGAACTGGTTGTGGTCCTTTAGCCGTCACCGGGGACAAAGAGGGGAAGAATAGGAGAAAATTATTCATATGGAGAGATTGATAACATGAATACAATCCAGGAAGAAAACGTTAACCTCTGAAACTCACATGTAATGTGAACTCGAACTTGAAGGGAGGCCCCTTGAAGAAAGACCCGCACGTGTCATCACTGCCAGTGACCAGGCGGTAAGGACGCGTCTGCTTTATGTCCACACTGTTGATCAATTTGGAGTGGCCGGAAAGATCCCCGACTGAGGAGCCAGTGTCCCACAGGAACACGGATCCAAACCTTCAGCGAGAGGAGAACATCCATGAGGTATTCCGGGGATTTGAGGGACTAATTACGAAAAAAGAAAGTGTGCTGGCTTTCCAGAAAGAAAATTAGCAGAGTTTATGGAGAATATTGCCACATGCTGACGATTAGACTAAAACATAAATTAGATTGACTTCTTTCTTTTTTTTTATACAATTGTGGTGATGGCCAGTTGCCCAACATGTTCTGTAAGGCAGGTGATGTGTTGTAGTGTTTAAGGTGTCATATTCATAGTAATGTAAAGTTGATCTCCTTCACAAAGTGCTTAATATTTAATACAAAACCATGACATCTAGCAACTGGGATTGTTTGCATTGGCTATGTAGTAGAGTAATTACTGGAGGAGCCTCTCAGAAGTTTAAGTTTAATTATATTGAATTTCTTCGATATGAAACCCCCCCCCCTCAGACTCACTTCTCTCGGCCGTCCCCAACGACAGCCATCCTCTTGCTGTCCTCGGTCCACGCAATGTCCTTGACCTTGCCAGAGAGAGGGGTGTACTCGTACTTGAGGATGTGCTCTTTCTGGGTGGTGTCCCAGATACGGATCTTTCCAGATACATCTACAGAAGAATTTAAAAAAAATTGGATACATTTTATTAAAAAGTCAATTTACAGACACATTTGTTGACTGGTTTCCATGGGTGGGTCATTTACCTCCAGATGCAATGTAGAATCCACTGGGCGAATATTTGGCCACAGTAACCGTATGGGCATGTTCAGTGTAGATGTCGGCTATAGCCGGATTCTGTAAAGACAGGAAATGAGAGATATCAGCAGCTCTGAAACTGACAAATAGGCAGTTCAATTTCTTTAGTAGATTGTATTTAATCCAAACCTTATTATCAGGGTATTGGCCACTGGTCCTAGTGCTTATGACAACATTTCAATGGGTAAGATGAATTGAGCCGATTAAAAAAAGCGACACAGCATCTCAGCTTGACAAGATTTAGAAGTTAACACACAACAAAAATGTGTCTTACGTTTGGTCCAAGTGCTTCCTATTAATTAAGAGGAACTGAATACCAGCTGAGAATTTTGCTGTTGTGCTCTACACCTAGGCATCCCCCTGAGGCATGGCGACGGGGGGAGGGGGTGGGGTCTACAGTGCCTGCGTTCCATTCGGCTGCGCCCTTATGCCGTGTGACATGAAGTGGAGATGGTGGGAAAGCTCTGAAATGCGTTGTAATCGCCAGGTATTCCGTTTGTATGCAACTGATCAACAATCGTTGCATCCCAAATGTAATCGTCAGACAGCATGTAAGTGTTGGCAGAGACGCTACAGTAGAATTTCAAAGAGCACACTGCAGCATTGTGCCGGCTGGATTTTGTAGAGCACAAAGAGCATGTTTAACAGATGCTTTTGAGGTTGGTGTAAACTAACTTTGGATTTTAAGTTAGAATCTAGTACAATCAACCCAATCTTCTGTTATTTGTGAATAATATCTCATTATCCATCATGATTAACAGCCAAACCTAGAGCCAGATTGGCATAAATAGAACAACAAACACTTGTTAAATGTATTTTACGAAGTAGAACCGTACTTGGATGTTCCTGATGATGACACACTTCCCATTGGTATACACAAAGTTGTTGCCTTTCGGATCGCCACCAATCACTTTTGCAACTCCCCTCTCCATCTGAGGGAGACTGGCAAATACATGTTCTACAAAAACAGAAGAATGGCATTAAGGTTTTTTGAGCATATCAATATAGGACTTTTATTTGGATAACTGACTAGTAGATACAGTAAATTTGTGTCATTTTCGGTATAGGAGCAGTTTGAGATGTCCTGAACAGATATACATTAGTCGTTGTTTGGAATCAGTGAGAAAACTTTTTATTGCAGCTCAAAAATTAGGTTTTTGAACCTACAAATATAGGACTTTTTGGGATAAATCTCTAAATTGGTAGGGTAAAAAATTTGTTCAAGAGTAGTGAGAGGTCCTTAACACGTGAACATCAGTCATTGATTCAGTATTGGGGTCGTTGTGGCGCAGGGGTTAGAGAAGGTGTGCTGGGAAGCACAAGGTTGGTGGTTCCCAGTTGGTTGGTTCGATTCCAGGCTGCCCCATGTTCCATGTCGAAGTGTCCCTGAGCAAGACACCTAACCCCTAATTGCTCCCCGGGCAAAAATGTGAAAAGGCCATGGTTTAAAGTGTAATGTAAGTCGCTTTGGATAAAAGCGTCTGCTAAATGACCTGTAATGTAATGTATTGCAAATTGAGCTTTGTTGTCTACTTATGTAGGGAATTTAAGATTTATAAAATGTATTCTTTATTATTATTATTCTTTATTAAGAATCAATCTCATAACGGGTACAGGAAAAATGTCCGAAAAATGATTGGCTTCCTGTCTAAGTATAGTTGATTATAGTTTTTAATGGCATTTTGAAGTATATTTCTAACTGAAATTCAGGTTACATGTTTCTGCGCTCACGATCTGGGCATTTTTAATGAGTTTACCGTAAATGTTACAAAATGTAAGCTTCTGCCGAGTTGACCGCGGTCTGCAGTGGCTCTAAAATATTTTATAGGAAACGTTTACTCAACATAAACACGACACACAAACGCTTGACTTGACGCTTATTCAGCAGCCACCAACTGTCTGTGCTGTGACGTCACTTCCCCGATTGGCGTCTGTCTGGATCATGTCACAACAATGCGATGTGAGCGTAACAATCGCCCGACTGACGTTAGCTCAGCTGGCGAACGCTAACTCGGAGTAACGGTCCGCAACGTGCTGCAATTTAGAGCATCTCCACTCAACACTTGTCAGTCACAGACGAGTGTTGAAAGCAAACGAATGGTCGTTCGTATGCGGAGTTGCGTGTCAACATAAAGCTGCTATGGGCGAGGCTAGCTAGCTGCGGGCTAACCGTCCGACCAACGTTAGCTCGACCCGCTGAAGACTGTCGCCGACGACAAGAGTTTCATAGTTATTTCCTCTCTGCCACGGCCATTCAAAAAAAAGACAGACTTACTCAGTTCATGTGACATTTTCCTTGCTGGTCACTTGCTTTGCGCTACTCTTCACAAATGAATGAAACGGTGAAACTCCCCCGGCTGTGCACTCCCTGATCACACAAACACGGAAGCGGGTGCAGCGCTCTTCTGCCTGGCTTTGCCCATATATGGTAAACTCAGAAACTACGCTGCGCCCGTCAGCCAGTAGCCATGCGCGGCGTCCATCGGGACGCGTGATCCCCAAAACGCAGTCGTTCAGGCTCCAAGGCAATCGCGCTATTTCAACTATGTTGGTAATCGATGGAGTCGAAGCAAGTCATTTGAGATGTTTTGGGAAACATCGATCAGGCATTTCCAGAAAAATCTCAGAATCAGATTGACAACACTAAATTGAGAAAATCATCAACAGACTAATCAATGGGGGAATTAGTTGATTGTAGCAATACGAAATACAATATTGGCCACTGATGTGAAGTGGACTAGAAGTGATATACAATGTAAATACACAAGTGAAGAACATCTACCTTAGATAATACCTAATCCGATCTTATGATTCAGACCATAGTCCACTGATATGCTGCTTCACAGCGGTGAATTTAAACCTGATGTCATCCTGTCTGTCAGCAGAGAGCATCACTTCCCTGGAAAAGGATTGGGGACTCCCCGACCGTTGAGATCCATTTTAGAGAGACAACTGTTGCTCTTCTTTACACTATCCCACATAGCTGCAGAACTAAGCGAACTAAGCGTTTGTTAGACAAATCAGATTGTGTATGTGTTTTTCTTATTTGTAAACTGGGAAGGCTGTCACAAATGGAACCAATGGTATCCAGAATAGATGACTCTGTGTTGCCTAATATACCTAATAGCCATGTCTACCCCACAAATGTAATGCAGATGCACAGGACAGGTAGGCCCTACATTGGACATCTTGTGCGTATTTTTCAGAGACAACTTTTAGGGTGGGGAATAATTATTTTAAAGGCTGTTTAAAGCATAGCATGTCACACCAGATGCAATTTTTTATTTATACATTTGACCTTTTTTTCTGTGGTGATATTTTTAATCATCCTCTATTGATTCTCTGCTGAACCACAGAAGAGGTGAAAGACCGTTATTTAATTTGTATTTATAATAATAATACTTTTGCATTTCGATCCTCATAATGTCCCACTTTAGTACAGCAGGTGGCGGCATTGTTTCTCAACCACAATGATTGAGAAGAACCACAGAAGAAGAAGCCATTCGCTGCACGACTGTAACGATGGCGGCCACCCTGAGAGGAAGCCTGGTAACATTGGTCAAGGTGAGTGCGTACATGAGGTTTACATGCTTTTTTTACTCTCTACGCTGGCGGGCATCGACTAGCCACACATGGGGCTGTACTATTTCACCTCAAGCAGCAAGTTATTTTTAATTGTTGAAGAAATAGCCGGACCGGTTTGTGTCATTCGTGTGTTGTTGCAAACGGTGAGCCGTCGGCTCTCTGTTTGCACAGACACACATTCACGTTCACATTAAAAGTTATTTTTCGGGTCCACCTGATTTTGTCAGCTGGTCTACGAGAAGGGATATATTGTTCGTGAGCAGATACTCAACAACTAAGTCCATGTTAGCATAGTTTGGATCTGTTGTCCTGGTTGTGTGAGATGGGGAGCTAACTAACGGCGAGGGGCTAACGTTAGCTCAGTGAATGTGACAACCCCGTTAATCCCAACTGTCTTGAAAAGGACCGACTAGATGACTCTGTGAGCCTCATCACATACATTTTCATAATTTGTGTGCGTGGTTTGAGCTAATTGTTTTTGTTTTCTCCCTTGGCAAATGTATAGATATGTGTGAGACTCGGTAGTTGTCTTATTAGGGCTGCAGAGGGCATGGTGTGTTGTCATTCTGACATTTGAAGTGTTTATTTGTTTTAATCCTTGTAGCTCCCATGTTGCACACAATCCTCTTGAAATGTGGGGAGAGACAAAAAAAGTCACACCCATCTCTGCCACCTCAATCTGGCTAATCCAACGGAGAATAAAAACATCATTAAAAAAAGCATGTATTTCATTTATCTCTGGAATTGCTTGTAGTAACTGCTTTCTTCCCCATCCTCAGGGCCTGAGTGGCCCCCAGTGGCAGCAGCTGGCCTCTCGACCCTTCAGTGTGTCTGCTGGCCGCTCTGGTCCAGAAGCCCCACCGGCGCGCGCCGATGCCATCTTCAAGGTCACAATGTTGCCGGGTGATGGAGTGGGACCTGAGCTGATGACTGCCGTCAAGGAAGTGTTCAAGGTACAACCACCCCAAAAGTTGTAAACCTAGAGCAGCGATTCCTAAACCTTTTAGGGCACGTACCCCCTTCTACATCCCAACTGGGTCCATGCACCCGAAAACCCCTCAGACTTAAAAACAAAAAAATATTGTATCATAATAATTCTGAATCAAGGGAAAAACAAACTACATAAATACACTGAAACACTGCAGCAAAGTTTCAGTGAACTCCAGTTCACTACGTCACTTTAAATGAGCAATAACAAGGACGAGGACACACATGTAAAGAACAAATAGTGGCACATTCATAAAAGGGGGGGGGGGGGGTCTCTCTCCATCGCCTGGATTCGTCCATCTCTCTCTGTCCCTCTCCGCTCTTGTGACTGATAGCTTCAGATGTCCACCTAACTGTTCTGCAATTTCAGCCACTACGGCATGTGTCATAAATGTTGCTGGAAAAGTTAGTTGTTACCTGCACAAACTAGGCTCACTTAGCTAGTGTGTACGTAAAAGGAGGAGCTGAAGTGTATTCATTTAAGAAATTGTACATTTTAAATTTGAATCTTGCAAAGGGTAGTTTTTAATTCATGTCTCTATTTTGTGTAAAAACCCTATTGAATTTTTACAAATATTTAAAATGAATTATTACTCCATTAGACCACCATTACACATTTCCTCTCGCGCACCCCCTACAGGCCGCTCGCCCACCCCCAGGGGTAGGGGGTGGGTAGAGGAAACAATGAATGCTAAATACGTTTTTGGATTTATTTTTTTTGTTCAGGATTTCATCCATTCATGCTGATGTGTAATGTTGTTCTTTTTATTCTATTGGCTGATTTCAAAGTTGATTTTTCTTCAGGCAGGAGATGTCCCGGTAGAATTTGAGGAGTTTCACCTCAGTGAGGTTCAGAACATGGCTAGTGAGGAAAAGCTGGAGGAAGTGCTTACCTCTATGAAAACCAACAAAGTGGCCATGAAAGGTAGTTTTATGTATTATTTAGTCATCTGTCATTGCTCACCCTATTAAATAACAGCGTGGTAGTTATCTAAAAGGCAGCATATTCATGACATGCTGTGCTATCCAGGAAAGATTCACACACCCATGGAATTCAAAGGGGAGCTGGCTTCATATGAGATGAGACTAAGGTAAAACAACAAAACATTCTGGGCATTTTTGTATTTTGTTTATTTTCTGTTGCCGCAAAAGAAATGAAAGGAGAAATGAAATTACGACTTCCATTCCTCAGGCGCAAACTGGACCTGTTTGCTAATGTGGTTCATGTGAACAGCCTGCCGGGCTACAGCACTCGCCACAACAACCTGGACCTGGTCATCATCCGCGAACAGACTGAGGGAGAGTACAGCTCCCTTGAACACGAGGTAAACAACAACACTCCTCGCTGCAGGTCCTAGAATAGTTCTATATAGACAAGTTTCCTGAGTGAAATAAGCGGGCCGCCATTGGCCTTTCACTCTGCCAACGACTTCCGGTTGTGTCTGCAAAGCACTTAGCGAGTTAGCGTCTTTTACGGTCTTTGGTTAGCGTGCAGAAAAAGTAAACTATGGATGGTGTTACACGCCGACACGGCTCCGGGACATATTGTGCTGTTCACGTTTGCAACAACTCGTGGCGATTGCTGAATGTTTGGTCGGAAGGAGAATGTTTCGACTATCAACCATCTACAAGTGAGTAAAATGCTATAGATTTGCACTCAAATACGGAAGGCTTATCATTCGCGGAAGTCAACACAGTCTACTAATTATTACGCAGACGAATGTCAGCTTTTTCAGAGAAAAAAAAGTAAGTTAATACCTTTATCCATTCCGAAGCTATTAATAGATATGTCAGGGGTGCGCACTTTGACGCTCGTCAGTCGACTTTGAAGGGTTAAAGCATGCTTTTAGTGCAGGCAGGCTAGAGGGGATTACTTTTTCTTTTTATTACTCTTCGTGTTCTGTTATATATTAACACACGGATACATACAAACATCTTAATACAAGCACGGCGGCTGCATGGCTACAGGTACAGCCTGCAGTCTCCACATCTCCCGTCTTGGTAACCAAAACCCAGGCGTTATGCACTGAATTGTTAACGGACTGCCTTGGTTGAACATCGGCCTTTATATGCCCATATCGTGTAAAAGTACACAGCCCACTTTGTCGGAATGGAGGTACTGAAACGCCTCTGAGCTTTTCAGGTTATTAATTGCATTCCCATCCACCGCCATGGAATCAATAAAATAAAAGATCTTTGATGTCGTGATGCTGGGCCATATCGACATGTTGTCCGCCCATGATGTTACCTTACTTGGATGCAGAATGGTCAAAACAGCATTTTTAACAAGATTTTCGGTCGAATGTTGCCATTCCAAAGCCATTTTTACACCACTACTCAGCCTGCGCCGGAAGTTCTTGGCAGAAACAGGAAGTAAACCGGAAGTGCCCAGGAAACTTGTCTATAGTAATCGTGATTGTGGGTGTTACTGACACTCAGACAATTATTCTTTAGCTGTCTTGGAGACAAGGTTTATTATGAAAATCTATCGACAGTGTGACCATTTACACATTGTCCACCTACTTCAAGCTCTCACAAGACAGTTTACAGTTGTATGTGATAAAAATATGAGCTCCATGCTGTGTCCAATGTGGTCCATCAGACCGAACAAGTGTAAGATCATGTGTTTCAATTCTTTTTTTTTGTTGATGGTCATTGTTTGACTTTGAATGGCTGTATTAAAATGTATGTGTGCCCTCTTCCTGCTCCGTAGAGTGTGACCGGTGTGATCGAATGTTTGAAGATCATCACCAGAGTGAAGTCACGCCGCATCGCCAAGTTTGCCTTCGATTACGCCACCAAGAAAGGACGAAGCAAGGTCACCGCTGTTCACAAGGCCAACATCATGTACGGATATAGAAATGCTCCCTCATTACTTTTTATTATAAAGAAAAGATCATTTAGGTGGTGATTTGCATTGTATTTACACAAACACTTGTTCTCATCTTCTATGTTATTACAGGAAATTAGCAGATGGCTTGTTCCTGCAGTGCTGTGCGGAGGTGGCAGAACTGTACCCCAAAATCAAATATGAGAACATAATCATTGATAACTGTTGCATGCAGGTATGTACAGCCTCCTAATTCAGCCTCCCTGACTGTGAAAACACTATCAGCTGCTTGTTCAAACTTCTCATTGTCTGTGTTACTTGGCTGCAGCTCGTACAGAACCCGTACCAGTTTGACGTGCTGGTTATGCCCAACCTGTATGGGAACATTATTGACAACCTGGCAGCAGGGCTGGTTGGAGGAGCGGGAGTTGTTCCTGGTGAAAGCTACAGTGCCGAGTATGCTGTGTTTGAGACTGTGAGTTTTCACTTATTGCTTAGGTTTTTCCCCAGCTGGTCATTCTCTGATTTTCCTCAGATGTCTCTGTTTAGAGTTAGTTTTTCCTGCCTTGCATCAGAATGTGTGGCAAAAAAAATATTAGCTGTGCATTTCAGAAAATAGCCTTTCCAGACTGCAGCAGTGTCTTATTTAATTCCATGTGTCTCTTCCCTTTTTAGGGTGCACGCCACCCCTTTGCACAAGCTGTAGGACGGAACATTGCCAACCCCACAGCTATGCTGCTCAGTGCAGCTAACATGCTCAGGCACCTCAAGTGAGTCACCTTCTTGGTTCTTGTTGTAAGAAGTACAGCGCATTTCTCGCCTTACCTCCTTAACCTTTGTACTGGCCCAGCGCACGCCTCCAGCCTTAGAAAAACGGCCTTCAAGACCATTGTGTGCGAGAAAGGAAAAGGGCCACCTCTTAATTGTCCCCGTATTGCATTGCAGCCTGGAATATCACTCCCAAATGGTGTCGGATGCTGTCAAGAGGGTCATCAAACAGGGCAAGGTAAGTGTGTTTAATGGTAGTTCTACGTACTGTATGCCGACGGGGCATTCAGGCTGCTTATACGGCGACTCCTGCCATGATCACACTAACACTATTAACGCTCGGGGAATAACAGCCATGTAAAATGTGCTTTAGTAGGTTAGAGAGCCTTTAATCACACAAAACGTTTTGGACTATATACGCATTTATGCACCTCATGCTAGCTCTCATATTGCATTTCTCTTCCTTATAAACCTGTTAAATCCTACCATGACTACTTTTTGAACTAATGGCGTGTTTCCACCGAGCGGTATGGTACGGTACGGGTCGGGTCTGTTAACCATGATTTGGCGAGCGTTTCCACCGCCAACAGTACCCTTACTTGATAGGCGTGGTGTATTTCAGAAAGTAGTGATAACGGCACTTGATAGGCGTGGTATATGACGGAAAGTAGATTGACGTCATTCGATCGCGCGAAACGTACCGTACCGTACCGCTCGGTGGAAACGCGCCATAATTGTCTTTTGCACCTGGTCAATGTTGACAATAACACACTGGGACAAACTCTAGCATGACGTCTGGTCAACCATAGCCCATCAGATTACATGCATGGTGGATTCATCTCTCAGAACCATAGCAACCACTTAGCGACAGAATTATTGTTCTATTTCCTTTCTCTTTTTAAAGAGGTGGCAAAATCTGTTCATTCAGTTGGTGTAACTTCTGTATTTGAGTCCACTGTGTGGCTGTCAATTTAAAGGAGTGCTTGTCATTTGAAAGCAGAATTTGCCTGCACGTTGTCTGAAGTGCCCTTCCTCTCCCTCCCCCCTTTGCTTTAATTCCCTCCTCTCCTTGTACCCTGTTATCCTGTGTGTGTGCGTGTTTGTGTGTGTTTCTGTATGCACGTCCCAGGTACGGACACGAGACCTTGGTGGGTACTCCACGACTGGCGACTTTGTGCAAGCTGTTGTGGAAAACCTGCGTCACCGACCCGCTTACTAAGATGTGTCGTCGCACCCCTCACTGACATTTCCTTAAATCTGAACACCGAGCTAAGGCTCCCCTCCCCTCGTATTGCAAAAAGAGACTCGTGCCACACAGTTTTGACGGGCAACATAATGTATTTGTTTTTATCAATTTTGCCTTGTGTCAAACTTTACTGAAAAACATGTGCCACTCACAAGGCTTCTTCTCGTGGATTTAAATCATGCATCTAGAGCACCACTCGAAGGTTTGGACACCCTCTATTTTTCCTCATGTCCTCGTTGCTTCAGCATTGTTGGCCAGACAGACGACCTCTCTGCCATCACACAGATTAATAGCCAAAGATATGATGTCACAGTGCCCGTAAAGCCAGTGCTCCATTCATTGACAAAGCACGGCAGCTCCACCGGGTTGGATTATGAATCAATAATCTGTTGTATATAGAATGATTTGTATACGAGCGTGCTGCTTGTGCAAACAGAACTTTCAATGTCACGGATGCTGTAAAAATTAAAAAAGCTGCTCCAAGTCACCTCTTCAGCTGTCATGCTTTTTGTCTTACTGTGCTTCAAGACTTTATCAGCAATAGTAAAAGATACAGTAATGTGCAAGTCATTGCACTCTTATTTCAAACTCGGGTGAAATCAAATTTATCACACTGGAGAACGCGTACAGCTATCGGTGTCAACTGTGTCCTGTTCTTACCAGTTAATAAGATAAGACCCATGTTGGACATTGTGTCTTCCTGTAACATTAACATTAGTTTCAAAACATTAGCACTATATATGGTTTATAAATGTACACCGAGTGGAATGTTATTAATCAGTGAAAATAAAGAAGAGAACTTAAACTTAAATGAAATGAACGTGTTTTCTGAAAGTCCACGTCTCGCTGACCACACCTGTTTGTGTAAACGTGAGTGCAGTTTTTAAAGGCTCTCTAACGTGTCGCTCATGATACTGTATGTGGACACTTGTTGCTGCAGCTGTGCATATAGTAACAAACTGTCCTTATGTTTGCAACAGGTGCGCACTGGAGACCTGGGGGGCTACGCCTCGAGCGACGAGTTCACCCGGGCCGTCATTGCTAACCTGTCCGTCTAAGCTTTGTGTTTGCATATCTGTCAGCTACCGAGACGCACACAGGCCTTTTTTTCCATTGTATTATTTACATCCGGTTCAACTGGACCGTTGAATGATTATATACACACAGAATATATTCCAATTTCCAATTTTAAATGCCGTGAAATGTAAAATGTGCAGCTATGATATCCACAACCTCTGGCTTGCAGTTGAGTACAGTTGTTACATTCCCTTTGACATCTAAGGCATAAAAACATGAAATGTCTTACAATTACAACAAAACATCTGTCAAGATCCTGTAATTTCTTAATGGTTTCATGTCTGGAGATTAACCAGCAGTCAAAACATGGTGTATGTATTCTTTCATATTATTTATTAACTTCAAGTTTTGGCTTCATTGCTGCCTTATTCATGATGAACTATGAATAATAAATGAAATATAACATCTTGTGTGCAAAATCTTTGCGAGAACGTTAATAGACTGATGGAGTGAAAACATACGTATGAAAATGTTCTGATAGCTACAAGACGCCTTGTACCATGCTGACATGATCCAGGACCTCTGAGTATGCAATGCCTGTTTGTAAACGGCTGCAGCTAACATCTGAACTATATGTAAGATTCAATCATTCCCAATTTGAATTGTCATTGTCTTGTCCAGACAACAGTCTTAACGCCCGGATGTATTCAATTTAATAAAATTACTGATATAAACATAAAACTGTACCATGAAAATCATCATCCTACACTATTCAACACATTGGAATAATTTAATTTCCTTTTGTATTGTATAGAGCCATAACTGGCAAATGATTAAAGAACAGAATACATCCATTTATGGTTGTTTACTTAATGGAAATATTTAAAGACTAGATAAAATTGTTTTATAGTGTTTTCTTCAATCTCCACTTAAAACCAGACGATCTTCTAATTGTTTAATATAATAATTTTTAATGCACTTGGATATCTTTTTTTTTACTAAAAGCTTCCTTCCAAATATTTAATAGTCAATTGTCATTGTATTATTTCTTATCTCGGAAAAAAACATTAACACCATTTCCAATGTAGATGTAATTTTCAGCCCAAACGCTGTAGTTTGCTCTACAGCTGATATATATATATATATATATACATATATATATATACATACATATATATATATACATACATACATACATATATGTATACATATATACATATACGTATATATATATATATATATATATATATATATATATATATATATATATACATTACACGGAAAAAGGAAAAAAAGACGGGCATAAAGACACGGAGTCAGGAGCCCCTCGTGGACCCCTGCGCGGCGCGCGCATCGCCTGGCTGCAGTGCGCTTGGTGTCGGCTCCGTCTCGGCCAGCAGGTGTCGCTGCGCCCTTTTGGAGAAACAGCGGAGAGGAGACGAGGCCTGTGCCTGGCAATTTGCCGTCCGCTTCCCATTCTTCCTATGCAGACAGACACACAACATGGCGGACTAGGATAGTCGGCCGACGCGCCCGGATACAGAGGATAAACCGTGGGATTTAACACCTTGGGGGGTTTAGAAAGTACCCGCGTAAGGGCCGATAAATCAGGGCGAATCAAGGATTTTTCTCCGGGAGGGGGGAGCTGTTCCTGCCTGGATTAAGCACACGAACTAACTGCGAAGTGTTGTCTGTGTGTCCCGGATCGTGCTTCCCTCCTCTGCTGTCGCCCAGGTCTCCCCCCCACCCCCTCCACCCCACCCCGCGCAGGCTCTCGGTTCCTGGGGTGCGTAGACTGGGGCCGGGGTGGAAAAAACGTGGAAGAGAAAAGGGGTAGAAATTCCCACTTGGCTTTACTTGTTTGTTTCCTTTCAGGCTTCCTCTGGACGATAAAGAGTTGTGGTGAGTTTTCTTGTTTTCGTTGCCCGAAGCCCGAATCACACTTGTTACAATGTCGCCGTAGCAGCATGTTTCCTCTCGCTGTAACATTGTGTCACCCGCAAACAAGCACTTTCCCCCCCACAGCCGCTCCGAGCAGGGATACTTTACCCAGCAGCCGGGCGGCGTTTTAGTAGTTTCTAAAATCTTTGTAACGCTTGAACATTTCGCAAGTAGCTCGGAGGCAGGGAGGATTTTTTTTTCCTTTTTTTTTTTTTCTTCTTTTTTTTTGAGGGCTAAAGAGGCTCCGAAGCGAACGGTGCTGAAAGACGAGTGCGACAACCTTTCAGAAGTCCGAGGTTGTATCTCGGGTGGTGGTTGAGACAAACACCGATGCTGTGCAACAAAGAGGGGATCCAGGTTGTGTCCTGCCCCACTGCAAACTACACACTTTATTGATCCACGCGTTGTTATGGCCCCTTCCAGGAGGGCGGTGAGCTGGCGGGTGGGGTTGGGGTTGGGGTTTGGGTTTGGGTTTGGGGGGGGGGGGTTCCCATGAGATCCAAACAGGAATTAGGTCGCCCTAGCATCAACATGTAGGCTGTGCCCTGTCAAATCACAGCGGCCGCTTTGTCTTACATCTTCTGCGCTCTTGACACGGAGTCTCTAAAGTCTGCATTCCGCTTCACAACCTTTCCCAAAGTTTTCTTTTCTTTTTCTCATAATAGTTCATTTTCTCTTCTCGTTTTGAATATTGTGTGAAACCGAGCATAACTTTTCAGTCTTGCTGGTTTTATTTATAATTTTACTGCATTGCTAAAACTTTCACCTGGAACTGCAAGTCATGACTTCTTTAGCTCATTGGACGGTGGGTTCGACATGAAGGGGGAGGACATTGCATCAGGACAAAAAGAGGGGTGTCCCCCCCGCAGTCAGGAGGCATGGCCCAGCCTGGTTTGACATATGTGACAAAGCCTCCGCCCGGGGCTTCACCCGTCCCGTCTGGAGCGATCCACTGAGCCGCTTCGCATGTCCAGCCTGTCTCCGTCTCTCCGCATGTCCACAACGCACTGTCCTGTCGTGTTGGGAGCGTCCCAAGAGCGGAACTCCCATCGGCACTCCCTGAAAACGTTGGTGACCCCTCTTTCACCGCGCACACAGGCCAATATGCGGTCCAACCTCCTCCGGTGGTCCTGCATCCCCATCTCAGGAAAGTCGGGGGAGGAGGGGGGCAGAGCTGCTTATCATCTCGCTCACTCCGTCCATATCTCCTCCATCCTATTTTAAGAAGAAAGGGAGTTATTTCTGTCTTGAGTGGTCCTCGATGACTTTTCATCATTGGCCTAGTTTCCAGAGATAAGAATGAAGTATAGTTTGAAATCGTCTCGTTGGAACGTGGGTGATCTTTATAGATGACCGACCTGTTTTTGAAAATGTCACAATTTCAGGCTGCTTGAATGCTCAATGTCACGACCTTGCTTTTTGGGTGGCACCATGGGAGTTTTTTTTTCTTTTTCTTTCGCTTGTGGGCCTCCATATTTTGCCATGGAAGAGCACTGCAATTCTGAATCCAACAGGCACAGCATCTGTGTTTAGAGGATTACAGCGACCTATGATTTCAGCTACATATGGTGTGCCATTCGGCCTCCACAACAGGACATTCACCTGTTTGATGACAATTTGATATCCAGCCCGACTGACATTCGGAGTTTTCTCCGTTTTTTTTGTAGAAGTCATTATGCAACCCCTTCAAATCACTGAGAAAGTCTTTGTTTTCACATCCCCCTGATGTCGGATGATTGATGTTTCTGGTTCACCACGTCTGTGACAGATAAGTCATTTTTTTCATTGCACTTCAAAGGCTGATTTTGTATTCAAGAATTATTTTTAGATGAGTGAGAAGTTTCTTTTCTTTTCTTTTTTTGATCTTGTGAACTCACATGTGATCCAGCTTGGTAAACATCTGGCTCCTACCTCTTTGTTCCTCCTTCAGAATTGATGTTGGTGGGGAACCTGCTGGCCGTCAGCAAAGACGGGACTAAATATTGGAGTTGCGGGTGAAACAAGTTCTTGTAGGCTTTTCCTCTGTACCGTAACTAAGGGGATATAGATCATTCAATTGTTTATACAGTACGTCTTAGCCGTTATGTTAATGTTTCCATTATCCACTGTTTCTTGAAATATTGTCCTTTTTTATTTATGAAAAGCGTAGATAATAAGCAAAATTACCCGTTTAATCACATTGAGATATTGTCCGTTTTTCCTCCCGTAGAGAATCTGTTACGTGCTGTTTTAAACAGTGCCGTCAACGTTGAGGTCAATTTCAGGTCGGATTCAAAAGCGGTCGAGAGCCGTAGCTGTAAATATTTAGATTTGTACTTGGCTTTGGCCTTCGGGTCGACAAGATCTTTCTTGCTGTGAAGAAATCTCCAAAGAGGGTGTTTACAAGGCTGGGTAGTCTTTGAATGCACCGCCGTCTGATTCGGCGTGGCGCAAAAGGGATTTTGGAGATGCACTGTTACAACACTGCAGTTGCGTCTTCACCTTGTATCTTTCAGAGGAAGAGAAGGGAACACGTGTGACACTGTGGCCTCTTCAGATATGAAAACCCTTTCAGGGGCAGCGAGTAATCTACCACGTCGGTTTTCCTGCTAAGCTGGGCTGCATGTCATAGGAGCTGTTTCCATATTACCCACGGTGGAATGTGTCAAAATGCATTTATTCAAGCAATGGACAACTACAAATACTAGAATTATTCCATGTGATGCCACTTTATTCGGTTTCAGAAGTAAATGGAGCTCTAATGGTGATCTATTCTTTTATTCTGCTACATTATTTGTCAGCTATATTATATCTTATACAATCCCAACGACCTTGTGTGATACACGGCATTGCTATACATTTAATATTTTAAGTTTACATCTGAAGAAATCCCTTCTAATCATGCAGGGATGTAATGAATAGTAGGCCCTAGTTCATTCATTATCAAAATGTGGCTCATAGTTCCTCTGTACATTTACTTAAGTAACACTTTTAAAAACATCTTTTTTTTCATTGCTTTAGGACCTTCGCAGTTTACTTTTTCTAAAAATAGATCAACTTTTCATGCTCAACAAAGTCAAACTTTGTAAATGTTTTCACGTGGTCTGAACACCAGCGCCGCCACAAGTCTTAAACTGTCCGAGTGAAAACATTTCAATCCGCCTTTGGGTGAAAGCATGTGGACGCGACGAGGAACCTTACCAGGCATTTGATGCCAACTTTCACACCGTGTATGTTTCTCTCACCCGGTGCTATTGACACAACTGGACACAGAAGCACATTTTTGGTGGTAGAGCTTCGGATCCGGTTCTGTTGTGGCCCTTGAGCTGGCGGCTCCGGCCCCACAGCTCGCAGTGGTCACCGTGGCTTCTGTGGGGAGGCCAGGCGTTGCGCCTCCACATCCTCTCTGTGTCCATTGTGGGAAAGCTTGAGAGGCCCCTGGCATGCTCCGTGAGAAACCCCACCATGAAGCAGACCGGCTCTTTCACCCGACTCCACAAGGGAGGTTTTTTTTATTTATTTTTATCTGATCCAAATCATCGTTACAGGCTTAATAACAGACGCGGCGGTCACTCTAGTCTGCGTGATTAGTCAGAATCGTAATCCTGGTTTCTCTTCGTCCCTTTCATCAACTCCGCAGCCCACAAATGAAGCCAAAAGGAACAGAAACCTCACCAGCAGGGAGCAGGATCCCCAGAGAGGGAAGTCCAGAGGATTGTGGCTGTTGTATGTGGCACTGGGGACATATAATCTGCGGTCTGTTTTTACAGCGCAGTACCCAGTACTATCGGGCCTGTGAAGAGAGGCATTCACGGTATTCCTGTTGCGCCCCCTCCCCTCTCAAGACATAGGAACAGTATTAATATGCCATGAATGGAGAGAGACAGACATTATCTAGCGCTGCAGTCGCTGGAGGAGCAGGATTCCTCGTAGAAAGCCAGAGGGAAACAATTCTCTGCATGAATGGCAAAGTCCCCTTGGCCGCCGCGGCTGGTGTCATGACAGCAAAGGCGTGTGGGGTTTGTGTCTGTTGGTTTTCCAGCCCACTCGTTCGCCTTAGCAGTATCCTCTTTCAATTAATGTAATTATTAAGTAGAGCGGATTCCTGCCCGTGTTTTCCCTTTAGGATGCCACATTAGGATCATGCTGAATCTAGATCAAACAACGCACAATGGCCTGAGGATTGTCGTCCCCCGAGAGATTTATTTTGTAAGATCAGCCTTCGCCTTGAGCTGTTCGTTCATTTACGTCCGTACACTTGTAAAAGATGCTTATTACTTCACCTTGCCTCAGGTAAATGCGAAAGCATCGGTGAATTACACGGACTGGAGGGGGAACTTTCCATATTGAATGAGTCGCTTGCGTTGATCTTGCGTCTTGGCCTTTTGGTTGTCATGGGGATGTAATTGGACTTCCTTTATATTCTACCTATAAGTGTTCCTTTCACTGTGTGAATGAAGTGACATGGGAACAGCCCAGTCCTTTCACAACTGTGTGATTGCACTGCCATGAGGTCTGCAGTCGACCGCAGGCAGAGCAGCGACTGTCTGCAGCCGTCCGTCCGGCTCCCCACGTTAAGCATAGTGATTAAGGCCAATTTTAAAAGTCCATCTCGGTTTCTTCATTGATTAAATGTAATGATCTTAGACAACGTATAAAAAAATATATATTTACATTTTCTATCACAAAATATTTGAATGTATTTTGATGCATGCTTCTGGGTTTAAATTGATCTTTTTCTTTTATTGTTCGTATGGATACTGATTTGTTTGTAATGTTCAAAAAGTTGTTTAAGTCCATTGACTACATTTGTAGGTGTGAGGGTAATTTCGCAGGTACAGTATAATAGTAAGGTAACATTGACTAGCATTGTTGCTACGGTAACCAAGGTATACACGGTTTGACACACTTTCTTAGAACTTTGATTTGACCGATAATGGTTCTATGTATAATATGATTTCTGATTGTTGTCTAGACATAGATGTCATCAGATGTATTAGTCAATATGACCCTTTTATTTGTTTGCTAATGCTAATTGTAATACAGGCAATACGTGAAACAAATATGGCATTCTAGGGAGTGCATTGGCATCAAAGTTAGACAAGTTCTTGCTTGTTCTTCAAGCTCCTGAAGTCCTTTTTCATACTTTAAGCAAGCTTATAATAATTAATACGTCCATGACGAAATAAGGCTTTTCAAAGAAAAAGATCAATGCGACTTTACATTTTTGGTTTCCACCCAAATGTAAAGTCGCATTTTTGTGTTGTTTTTCTTATTCCCCCGCCTCAAACTATTGATCCATGTTTCTTGTCTCAGTCTTTTTAAAAAGATGGCAGTTTTGCACTTTGGCACTTTAACGGATCGCTCGGTGTGCTCATCCCTGAGAAATATTCACATGGTTGCACAACACGAGCCCAAAGTCAGGAGAACACAGGCAGCACAACGTTTGTGTGCATCCATTCACTTATAGAGGGAAGTAGATGTTTCCTCTGCAGGGAAAAGTGTGATAAAGCTGTTGGAAATATCTTTACTTACTTTCATTGCGGTTGTACCGATTCGCCGACTAGGATACTGGATTGAAAGAAAACGGACTCAAGAGGACAAGAACTTTATGAATTAAAATCTCTGTATGAAACAAAAGATCAGATAAGCAAATGCAGGCATTTTCTTTTGAGAACAAACAGGTGGTTCATCAAACAGTTACGGGTTAGCAATGTTTATTAGCATTTGTGGGAAGGCTGTAAGAAGCTTCTTAGTGCACTGTATAAGAGTGATATATTATAATGGTATAATAATGTAATCACATGTACAACCAAATATTCTGAAGAGAAATCTGTGTGTGTGAGAAAATAACCTGTCTTCCGGAGTATATTTTTAAAAGCGAGAGTGGAAAGCTCCAAAAAGTTGCACAAATAGAAGCGCTTGCCCATGTAGCTCCTAAATTAATGATGTCCGCTACCGGCGCTTAAGTCTGTTGAAAAAAGAAAGGCCTGCATTTACGCACCGGAAGGCTGCTGCCTCTCAGGAGGCTGAGACGCATTAGGAAGCATCCCCGGGGAGTCGCACGCCAGGGTCCACAGTCTCCACCGTCTCCAGGTAAAAACCTCTGCCAAGTGATGGTTAGCAACCGGAGCGGCTTAGATCGCTTCCACGGACACGTCATCCAGTCGGCCTGCACGGTAACGCAGAGGACAATGAGTCATGCCTCATTAGAAAAGGTTACCCCACCAGAAAAAAAACAACTTGTTGACGTGAACATCCTCAGCCTATCATGTTGAATGAGGCTCAACACGCTTTCCCACAAGACCATATTGATCACTAAGCTTGTCCTTTTATTTATTATTTTTCCGTAGCTGAGTCACTCCCTTTTAATAAGCACTGAGGGGGCGGACGGCAGAGGTAAGGGTTTACGGTCTGATGTGGTTGTCAGGTTAGCGAGGGATCCGTTTCACGTCCAGATCACCTGAAGGAAAGGCAGGACGCAGCACGCACTTTTGATTTATGGCTTTTTAGAAGTCCGTACAAACCGTCGGTGCGGGTGCCTTTTGTTCGGCACAACGACGTACCTGCGATCTCCTTACGTACCGGCTGTGTTTTACCTTCTGGCTGATTTAGACACAATTAAAACTGTAACAGGACCCGGGGGTGCAGGGGGGCCTGGGTGCGTTCCAGGGCTGGCTGGCGTTTGTATGGCGGTGGGGGGGAGGATGGGTGTTCTCCATGGTGCAGTCCAAAGACACACAGCTTAGGTCGATGACTGGTCTGCTCAGAGGTGTGGATGCTGCTGTGCATGGGTGTCGCTCCTGCAGTAGTGTGGCGATGTGTTCAGGGCCTTTGCCCAATGTCAGCTGCAAGTGTATCTAGTAAACAATTAATTGTTTAATGTAGGAAGGGATTGACAATTCATTGTTTTCGAGACCTACTGACAATACAAATAAAAAGGTAAAAGAAAACCTTTGCGAGAACTGAATCTATTCCTTCTCTTATTTGACAGGGAGACGGGGAACAATTGGATTTGTAGGCTAATAGCATCCTGATTGACGACATAACTTGATCATCGTGCCCCATTTCAGCCCGCGGTCCGCGCCAAAAAATCGCTCTGCTAAAACCAGAGTGTAAGTACTGCAATGAATGAGCTTGGTTTAAAACACCAGGCGATTGGCAACTGGCATCATTAGAGCTTTTAGCGCCCAACTTATCCTCTGCCTACTGATGCAATAATCCCGATGTAAAGCATCAGTTTGTGTGTTGTAGCGCCGCAGGGTTTGGCTCGCTGCCGTGCTGGACTATCTGTGTAAACAGAGGCAGACGGGCTGGATTATACTGGGGTCACGGTTTTGGGATTAGGTCAAAGGACGATGACAGTTCAGTCGGGGAGACAACAGCCCCGTTGGCCGGCGGGTTTATATAAAAGACCGCCGGGCCGGCGTCAGGCTTTCTCCAGGTCCGTGTGGTGTTTGGCCCGGACCGGCTCTTCCGCCTATCAGTGAGTTTCTTCAGAGGTGATTCACTGTTTCTGCAGGAATGTAATTGGGATGCTAAATTCTGTTTTGGTCATGCTGGCGTTGACATATTTTTAAGATTAAACCGTGTTGAAGCGCTGTTTTTTTTACTAGATATTGTTGTGTTATTGTTGAATTCAAAGTCCAAATCATTTTTGAATCATTTTCATATAACATACTTAAAATCTTTCATTTTGTCATCATTCATTTTGACACAGTTTTGGAAAATACTTGCTTGCATTCTTCGCACCTGTCTCTGTAATAGTCCACATATTTCTGTCTGTGTGTGTCTGAGAACAATCCTCCCCTAGATTATTCATCCACACGTGTACGGCAGGAGTCAATGGAAAAATAAGAATGTCTTCTGTTCACGCTCTAGGACCACGCTGTACGAATGAGTGATTGATGCTAACTTCGCTTCTTCAGGTAAGCAGCGTTTATCACACACTGGCTTTAATATGCAAGTTTTTCAAATGCAAAGCTTCAGAAAATCAGCATGTGGGATTAAAATATACTATTCCCAAAATATATAGGGGATTATAGAACTCACAAATCTGTATTACAAAAAGTGGTTCAGTCAATTTTGATTGATTTCAATGAGATTTTAGCTTGTTTTTCACTAATGCTCTTTTGTGCATCCTCCATGCAGGGCAGAATGGGTGTGTGTCCCCTGCTCCTGCTGCTCGGTCTCGCCCTCGGGGCCACAGTCCAGGATCATGTCCCTATCACAAGTACGGATCGTGCATCATTTCAAATCCCTTAACCTACTCACTTGTGAAAACATTTTCTCACCCTCCGCTGTCTTTCCAGGTCCTCCAAATATCTCTGCCAGAGCTACGGGGCCCCCTGCCGCACCCTCCCTCAACTCTACAGTCGCACAGCCCCCCCCAGGCCCAACCACAACGCTGGACCCCACAATCAGCCCGGTGACAACAACAACAACAACCGCAAAAACAACCCCAAGCCCAGCCGGCGAGGAGGATGCACAACCGGCCGGTCGCAACGCCACTGTGCGTCTGTTACCAGTCCCAGCTCCTTCCCCTCCAGCCGCCGGCGAGGCCCCCCAGGAGCCAGCGAGCAGCGAGCCTCCCTCTCCTCCCACCCCTACGGGGGTAGACAACAGCAACAACGACACCACCGGCGTCCCTACAGACGCGCCAACTCCGGACTCTTTTTTAACGGATTTATTCACTGTGGATGCGCACACCACCACGGAACCTGGCGCGGGCTTCACCTCGGACAGCAGCCCGCACGGTGAGTGCTGCCGCTTGTTCTGCGGCGCTGTGGCCCCACGTGTTTTAGTGTATGAGAATACGTTTTCCGCTGACGGCTCCTTTTTCGTGGGGTAAAGTCTCATTGGGGAAAAATCGTACAAGATGCCCAACCAGCGGTGGCCCCGATAGATCAGAACGCCATCGAGCAAAACGACGTGTTGTGATTCCAGAGGGTGTGACTCAGTGTTATTTGGAATGGAAAAACACCCGCTGAGCATTTCATGGGTGTTATCACCCTGTGCGCCTAAAACCTACAGCTCAATGGAAGAAGTTGGTTCACTGCAGTCAATAGGAGTCATTCAGAGAAGTGTGGGGAAACAACCCACTGTGTGTTGTACTCGGGTACTTTTTTTTTTTTTTTTCCGTCAGTGCTTACATTTTACTTTTGTCTGTTGCAAAACTACAGTTTCTGCCTATTGGAAGAAAAAAAATCCCATGTAGAGGTTTTGTGTTAATCGCATACGACCTCGTCGGGGAATTTTTTTTTATTTTGCTTTACCCAGAATATAAAGATGACTTGGTGGCACAATTCGGGTGCAAACAAGCACGTATTTATTGCTGCCACTTGTCATCAGATCATCCGAGACAGATTTTAATTCAACCCGTGAACAGGGCCAAATGAATGCAGACGCACACAAAAGGTTAAGTCAATGTGGAGACAAGAACACAAAGATAAACAGCACAGATTGTCAGGGCGTTTTTCTTTTTTTTTTGCTTCATCGTGTGTTATTCATGCTGCCTGGTGAAGCAGCAGCAACAGATAGAAAGCAAGCGAGTAAGCTTTCTGGCCAATAGTCAACCTTTTAATATTTTAGATAGTCGGACATTTCTCGGCTTTTAGAGTCCTTTGTAGCAGCGATGGAAATATCCTGACGTGTCGTAGCTGCATTTGACCATTCATCCACAATAATCAGAGGAGCAATACAACTAGATGTCCCAGACACTTATTTTAATGTGAAAACAAACCATGTAGAGGGGGCACATCTATGTATTGACTTTAATTAATGAAATGCTGCTTTTGAGTTTATTTTTAAACATTACAAGTGACCCCAACGCTCTAAAGCTGAAGATCTTTTGTATTTATTTTAAGGAGCTTTATTGTCTTTGCAGCTTTGTGTCTGTGCACTGACCATCCTAGCAATATCCTTGGAAGTGAAACATGACCCACACCAGTGTCTTTTACATTAATTATTCATATTGCATGAATATAGAGAAATACACAAATTGCTTGTGAATGACCCTGACTGATTTTAAATTAGCAGGAATGTCATAGATTTGAAATCGCTTATTGTGCAACTTTTTAATGAAAGTGTAGTAAAGTACTTAAAAGTTCAGATGAGCAATCCACTCGTGGCAAACATGAGTACAACAGATGTGCCTACACTGCTAATGCGGTATGTCTATTACACAACCTAATCGCTTTGGATCGGTAGGTGTTGGGTAATCGCTCTATTGTCTCCGTCGTGCTGCCTGCGGACCTCGTGTGTTGAGCTGTGAGCAGTTCTAGATGATGTTCGACTCGTCAAGGCTGTGTCAGTTCCACATGACACGCAAAGCCTGTTGTGCTCCCGTTCTGTTCAATGTACACATTGTCCCTGGGTGAACACTGAAAAGTCCTGGGAATTGTGCCTGAAAATGCAACGTAAGTGGGCAATAATCCAGGTTACTTCCCCGAGAAAGTGCACATGGAGCATGAAGTCAAATGTTGCATTCTTTGCAGCATATTTTATATTGTGTCTGCAGCGTTGAGAGCTTTCTTGAATTTTGAGTCGTTTCATGGAACAGCTGATTCTGTCGTTGCATTGTTACACCATGGTGGAGTTTTCTAGAAAAATCTCTTTTGTTGTGGCCCTGTGTGTCTTACAGGCCGGTCATTAGCGCACAAACAGCAGCCTGTTTTTTGTACACCAAGCTGCAGTTGTTGTTTAGGCAAATCTCATGTGTTTTGTGTTAGGTGCTGCAGAAAGGTTCCCCAGGAAGGCTAAAGGGTTGCATCCAACTCCTGGACATGGTGGAAACGTATACAGATTGGTCAGCTATTGTGTCACCACAAAGAACAGATTAACTTGGTCCATTTAATATCGCCGTCGTGGCGCAGGGGTAGAAACGGTGCACCAGGAACCGCAAGCTTGGTGGCTCGAGCCCCAGCTGCTCCGTGTCTCCTGTTGAAGTGTCCCTGAGCAAGACACCTAACCCCTAATTGCTCCCTGGGCAAAAACGTACAAAAAGCCATGGGTTAAAAATGCAATGTTAAGTCGCTTTGGATAAAAGCGTCAGCTAAATGACCCGTCCCCCCCCCCCCCCCCCAGTCGGTATGATCTCATGCTTTCTGGCTTGTGACTGCTGTGGCTCGGCGGGTTATTTGTTTACCTAGGTTTGCGGTTCCATTCCGGTCTCCTATTGTCTTCATGTCAAAATGCCCTTCAGCGAGACACTGAACACCAAGTTGCTCCCCGGGCGATACACAGCAGCCCACGGCCCCTTTAAGGCTACGGATGGGTTAAATACAGAGGTGAAATGATACGTACGTGCATGTATGCATACGACAAATGTAATAAAGTTTTGGGTTTAAGTCTAATATTTATACTCTAAATAATTAATGTAGAATTCCCAGAAAAATATCCTAAATTATTCAGTATTTTATAACATCACCCCGCTTGCTGTCATCTTGGGCACAAGCGGTCCTTGAAGCCGGTAAAAGGGCCGAGCCTCAGTTAAACTTTGATTTACCTGCTCAGCCTGTTGCACACGCTCTGCATCTCCAGTTGTGTTTTTACTTCTTTTTTTTCTCTTTGGAAAGGCCAATGAAATATTAACATGGATAACCATTACTGAAAGGAAGGATGCAGGCTGGTGTTGAAAAAAGCAAAGGTCACTTTGCGACCTGAGCTTTTTTTATTTATTTGTTCTTTTTAACCCATTCTTTTTAAACCATGTTAACTAGGTAAACATAATTTTCTTGTTGAAATTTAAATAAAAGCAGCCATTAGAGAGGTTGTATTTAAGCTGAAATGATTAGTAGATTAATGATTAGTTGATATGCATACCAGTACCATTGAATATGACGTGGTAGCCAGTTAGCGTAGCGTAGCAGAATGACTGAACAGGGGTAACCGCTTGACTCAATCTAAACTGCCCCTCTAAAACTCACCAATTAACAAGTTGTATCTTGTGGTGCGGTTTCTCATGTTATTTTCTTTCCTGGCTTCTTATAGTGACAGCCCTCGGTGACTGTGTTTTATGCACAGCATCAAGAAACCGTAGATCACATGTGGAATTGGGTTACTGTAACCCTTTTATAATTTCACGATAAAAGCGGTTCACTTTAGTGAACTGCCGTCAGATTTAACCCCCGTAGCTTATTTGAATGGTGAAATAAGATAAAAATGTGGCCATCCTGACTTGTCACAAGTATTGAGACATTCTTTTATTTGTATTTTCATTTTCATAAACCAATTGTTGATTACAAGCAATTTATTATCTCTTTCTTTCTGTCTCTGATGTAGACAACGACCAGTCTGACGACACGCCCGTCATAGCTGTCATGGTGGCCCTGTCCTCCCTGCTGGTCATCATCTTCATCATCATCATCCTCTACATGCTCAGGTTGGTGAAGTGCAGTTGATGTTACACACAGCACGCTAGCTAGAGAGCTCCTGTTACCATGGCAATGACTGATTGGCATTCAGCTGTAGGACCTAAAGGTGTATGTTTATTTTCGTGTGTGTGTGTGTGTGTGTGTGTGTGTGTGTGTGAGAGAATCTTTTTGAATTAACATGCGCTTTGATCTGTGTTGATTGACAGGTTTAAGAAGTACAAGCAGGCGGGAAGCCATTCAAACTCCTTCAGACTGACCAATGGTAGATCAGATGATACAGGTAAAACACCCACATATGCATTAGCCTGCGAGTGTTAGTGTGTGTCGATGTGCAGATGTGTCTGCGTACGCATTGATCGGTGATTTATCTCTTTTGGGTCCTATCAGCAAACGTGCACAGCCAGCGTGACCAAACTTATTAGTCAGAGTTCCTTCTTGATGAGACTTGATTAATCTTGCTTCCCCAGGAGATAACATGTCAGTGGTTGAGGTTGGCAAAAGGCTTTTGTTCACTGTGATTATCTAACCAGCAGGGCTGCAGTGAGCGCCCTCGTATGTCAGTGTTGATGCACATCGCCCTCTGCTGGGCATCTTGATGAAGTCAGCGTTGCTCGATGCAGGAGGGCTCTGTTTCTCACCCATTTCTCACCCATTCTCCCTTGTCTTTATCTCCACCTGTTTGGCCACACCCTTTCCTTCCCTCCTCTCCTCACCTTCCTTCCTCCTACCCTTCCTGCTTGTCGGGGCCGCAGAACTCCAGAGCGTCCCGCTATTGGCCCGGTCGCCCAGCACAAACAGGAAGTACCCGCCCCTTCATGTCGACAAACTTGAGGAAGAAATGAACCGTCGCATGGCAGATGACAACAAGCTCTTCAGGGAGGAGTTTAATGTAAGGGCCACACAGCCTCTGATAACACTCAGCCCGACACTCCTCTTTAACCTCTATAGCCTCATTAAGTGAGTCCCATCCAGAGGTAACCCAGATTTCATTCCAGTTGCCATCGGGTACGTCGAAAGATAATTAGAGCTCAACCAATTTAAATCCAATGAAAGAATGATTTGGGCGATCACTAGTTCATTATAGTCCCAATAACCATCTATGAACTGGCGACCATAATAGCCTGACTGCCCTTCACACACATGCAAACATCTCCAACGCAACACTGGTTGCATGGAAACTAGTTTGTATACTAGTAGTAGAGAATAATTGAGATTATGAGTCAAATGGTATGGAGACCCAAAGAACTGAGCTGCCAGAAATGCGCCTTGTGTTCTGTGTGTTTAGGCGCTGCCAGTGTGCCCCATTCAGGCATCATGCGACGCTGCTTCCAAAGAAGAGAATAAGGAGAAGAACAGATACGTAAACATCTTGCCTTGTGAGTAACAGCCGTTGTCACTGACTGATGTTAATAAGGCAGCGCTCACTGTAACTGTAGCTTTTATCTGCGATTTCCAAAGTGATCTCCTGGGGTCTATGTAACGGTCAGGATGGAAAAACTGTAGTGGTGTCACTATAGTCCCCTCTCTCATTTGTCTTTTCCTCTCCGTGTGCCCGTGTCCTCCTTCAGATGATCACTCCAGGGTGCATCTGTCCTCTCTGGAGGGAGTTCCAGACTCGGACTTTGTCAACGCCTCCTTCATAAATGTTTGTAGAAGTGCAAACAACAAAATGACAACATTTCTGTTCTGAAGATTGTTTTTGGTCATCCTAACGTCTCGTTTTGACCACTTTCGTTCACAGGGTTACCAAGAGAAGAATAAGTTTATTGCAGCTCAAGGTAAGAATCAAACTGCCTGTCTATTAGTCCTATATTTTATATATTATATAGTATTAATCCTCTGAGTTTATGTATTGGTCTGTGTCTCTCAGGGCCTAAGGAGGAAACTGTAAATGACTTTTGGCGGATGATCTGGGAGCAGAACACAGCAACCATTGTCATGGTGACCAATCTGAAGGAGAGAAAAGAGGTAGGACAGCTGGATGGATGATCATGTGTTTGTTTCAGAGGATCATACAATATTTATCTATTAATTTATTATGGATCATAACATTCAAACAGATTAAACTAAGTATACAAGGGAACAAAATCTGCTCTTTAAATTCTTAATGTAAAGTGATTTTAAACAAAGTGTTTTTTAAACTCATAGCATTACAACTCTTCAAATTCAGTTTGTGTTTTTGCAGTACTTCTGTCATTGCTGCAACATTAGAGGACTGTTTATTGGGACGACCTAATTTGTATTATCCCCCTCTTTTCCCATACCCCAAAATTAATTGAATTAGTCACCCGCTCTGTTTCAGTGTAAGTGTGCCCAGTACTGGCCGGACCAGGGCTGTTGGACATACGGGAACATCCGTGTGTCTGTAGAAGACACAATGGTTCTGGTGGACTACACCATCCGCAAGTTCTGCATCCAACAGGTAACCTATCTTCTTATTCGTATGTATTCTGTGTTTACCCTCCACACATGCACAAGAAGGAGTATGTGTAGTTTGCATCAACTAAATTCTTTTCACGGCTCACACTGCAGACTAAAAGTAGATTTGAAACTTTGGGTGTGCTGTCATTTAGGTTTAGTGGCATTAATGAAGACATAAATGACCCTGGATACGGCTTGGTCAATGATCTGGTTTCACTCGTGTCACAGGTGGGAGACGTTTCTGGGAAGAAGCCTCAGAGGCTCGTCACCCAGTTCCACTTCACCAGCTGGCCAGACTTCGGGGTGCCGTTCACCCCTATTGGCATGCTCAAGTTCCTCAAGAAAGTCAAGAATTATAACCCCCAGTACGCCGGGGCCATTGTGGTCCATTGTAGGTAAGTGGTTTCAAGTGGGTTTGCTTACTTTTGCCTACTTAGTTGTGTGTCTTTGTCTGCATGGCGCACACACAACTCACATGTCATGTGTCTGTCTGGCAGTGCCGGCGTTGGGAGGACTGGTACGTTCATTGTGATCGATGCCATGTTGGACATGATGAACTCTGAGAGAAAGGTGGACGTGTTTGGCTTCGTCACCAGGATCAGAGCCCAGCGCTGCCAGATGGTCCAAACGGATGTAAGTCCAGTGGCGACGCACTCTCCCCTGATGCAATAGTTTCACTCTAAGGATCATTTTTTGATTATTTCAACTTGCTCTTCACCTTTCCCCCCTCTGTCCCACAGATGCAGTACGTGTTCATCTTTCAGGCGTTGTTAGAGCACTACCTGTACGGAGACACCGAGCTGGAGGTGACCTCTCTGGAATCCCACCTGGCCAAACTCTACTCCCCCTCACCAGGAGCGGGCTGCAACGGGCTGGAGGCCGAATTCAAGGTATGCGCCTGTGTGTTGTATTCCTCCAGAGACTTTGATGATACCTTTTGTGTCCAAATGGGTTCCTTCCATTCACATACAAATAATAGGTAAATTAAGTTTCTCATATTTGAAGTCTGATGTTTTGGTCTCCTCATTTTCTAGAAGCTGACTTCCATCAAGATTCAAAATGACAAGATGAGAACAGGCAACCTCCCCGCAAACATGAAGAAGAACCGAGTGCTACAGATCATTCCATGTAAGTGATGCGGTTACGTATACACTCAAAGTCATGGACGCTGTAATGCAAATAATTATGATTTATTATATCAACTCTTCATCAAAGTTTATGTTTCTCCTTTTACAAACAGATGAGTTCAACAGAGTGATCATTCCAGTTAAACGAGGAGAGGAGAACACCGACTACGTCAATGCCTCTTTCATTGATGTGAGTGTAGAAGCACCTGTTTCAGAGTAGATCTTTTCATTTCATTAATGCATGCAATCGATCGGATCTTTGACGGTCTCCTTTCTGCCTCCTGCTCTTTATCTTGGCGTCCGCCGGTCATCCTTCTTTTCATTTCCTGCACGCGGTCACAGGGCTACCGTCAGAAGGACTCCTACATGGCGAGCCAGGGCCCCCTCCAGCACACCATAGAGGACTACTGGAGGATGATCTGGGAGTGGAGAAGCTGCTCCATAGTCATGCTCACTGAGCTGGAGGAGAGAGGACAGGTGTGTGTGTGTGTGTGTGTGTGTGTGTGTGTGTGTGTGTGTGTGTGTGTGTGTGTGTGCGTGTGCGTGTGCGTGTGCGTGCGCGTGCGTGTTCGGATACCAACACAAGTATTAGATATCGGGTCAATAACTGGCTGAAATAGAATATTGATATTGGATGATTTACTTAATGCTAACTTGATGCCATCGGTCTTGTGTAACATATTTATAAACTGAGCAAAAATATCTGGAAATCATCTTTAATGGCCATAACTGTAATTTTGGAATGCGGTTATTTATATCAACATCGTGTATACGTAATAAATGAGTTATGATCCAGGAATGAATTTCTCTTTAATATGCATTACATGAGGATTGAATATGTCCAGAGATTTAGTTATCATTCATATTTTAGATTTCCTTGAAGAGTTCAGAATTGTATCTGCTGTTAAGTGTGGTAATTTGACCTCCTTCGTTATGGGTCATGCAGGAAAAGTGTGCTCAGTATTGGCCCAGTGATGGAGTGGTGGTCCACGGGGACATCTCCATTGAGATTAAAAGGGAGGAGGAGAGCGAGAGCTACACAGTGCGTGACCTCCTGGTCACCAACAACAGGGTAAGGAAGGACTTAATGAATCAACGGATGCTCCAGATAAAAGCACGCCGCCGGGTCCAGCAGAAAAAATATTATTAACTTGACCTTTTCGTGCATAGATCAGTTTATGCGGATTATATACCGACATCAATCTCTGCATTAGTGCTTTTAAAACATTCTGTAATCTCTTTCCCTTTGCCCCTGTCCATCCCCCAAAGGAGAACAAAGCTCGAGCGGTCCGTCAGTTCCACTTCCATGGCTGGCCAGAGGTGGGCATCCCCACCGACGGCAAAGGCATGATCAACATCATTGCTGCGGTGCAGAAACAGCAGCAGCAGTCTGGCAACCATCCAATTACTGTGCACTGCAGGTAAAACATGCGCCGTCTTCTTAACTCGGTGTGTTGCTGTTTTAACCTGTATGCACCGGGAATGCGAGGAATGCTGCTAGAATTCAAGTGTGCGGCTGTTTGTCTGGGGAAATGGTTGCAGCTATCAAATCACAGGAAAAAACAGCTCAGAATAATTGTTCTCTTCTTCCTCTTGGGATTTGTACTGCTCCCAAAAATAATGCTTCTCTCAACATGTGCATTCCCAACAAAGCCTCTTGTGCGTATGATGTTTCTGCATATGCATAATACATTGTGTATAGTAAGGATTACATTTTGTCTTGTGTGTGTGCACAGTGCCGGTGCTGGCCGGACGGGGACCTTCTGTGCGCTAAGCACGGTCCTGGAAAGGGTGAAGGCGGAGGGCATCCTGGATGTCTTCCAGACGGTCAAGAGCCTCCGACTGCAGAGACCACACATGGTGCAGACATTGGTGAGGCACCTTTTTGAAACCTTTTTTTTTTCATTGTCAAGTGCAGTATTCTCTCCTCTCACAATTCATTACCAATTAGCAACCGTACTCTTTTTTTTCCTTAAGATTGAGTTAAGACATCAAAAGGGAGTTTATTCTTCCAAATGGGGTATCTTAACAATAAAGGTATTTTAGGAATAGGATTTATGTTATTAAACCGTTGTCAACTGTAGATAGATGGAGCGTTTTTTTAAATGCATTTCAAGGTTTATTCACCGGTGTGGAACATCTAGGTCCAGAACAATGTTTAAGGAGCTTTCATTATTAATTTATATAAATCTACTGCTGTTTGATTGTACACGTGTCTGCATTGTAGACTTTTAATACAAGGGATCAAGGATTTAAGGGATTGAAATGTGACATATAAACGTTTCTAGTCCCAACTGCTATAAATGTCCCTGTCTCGTCTCTCCCAAGGAGCAATACGAGTTCTGCTACAAAGTGGTCCAGGAGTATATCGATGCCTTTTCTGACTACGCCAACTTCAAGTAGGGACTTGCCATAGATGGATGGATGGATTTCTGCACACACAAACATATGCACGCACCACAGCACACAGACACACACACACACACACACATGCATTGCCATGCTGAAAACTGCATATTCCCATCTGATGGATTTAAAAAAAGACTCATCACAACTTTATCTGTGGCTGGGATGAACTGCCCGCAGGGAAAGGGATCAGAGGCCTCGACCTGGAGGACAGGACAGGGCAGCGCAGATGGACAGATGACTGCGATGCCTTCTTGGATATTTTGTAATATTGGTCTTGTTATTATAGCCCTTTGCACCTATTTGCTTCCCATCTTCCTCTAACCTGCCCCATATGTATATACACTTGAGGTGTTGCAGCTTATTACTTTGGTTTCAGACACAGTTTTGAGTTTGGCTGCATTTTCGGGTGGCACCTGTAATATACTTTACTAAATATAAACCGAATAATTTGGAGGCTAATGTAAAAAAAAAAAAAAGAATTGACGGGATGATGTTTGGATTTATTTTTTATCCTTTTGGGATAGAGACTCAAAATATATTTGGCTTGAACAGAGCCCTGCTGTGACATGTGTTTTAGCCGACTTTGAACATTTACAGCGTAATCCAGCCTTTTCTCCACTGCTAGACATTCATACATTACAGTTTCTCTCCTTAGGTTTGAGATTTCACTCACAATGATGTGATGTATCTGACAAACTCGGGTTGATGCCAAAACACACACACTTAACACACAGGAGCCATTCATTTTTTTCCTGTGTGTTGGCTTACCGTTGTTTTTACATCACTGTCGTCTGTCTACAGGAGGCAAAAGTGCTGCACTCACTTTGTTACGCAAGTCTGAGACCACGTTTAGACATTTAGGACAAGAAAGCAATTTTACTGTTCAATGATCTGTAGCCAACACACTCCTTGACTACAATAAGAAATTGGAAATATGGAAATAAATACCCATCTTTTAATAAATTTTAAGGAATATTGGTCAAGATTTTACGTTGAAAAATGATTTTTTTTTACTCTTTCAAAGCTTGTTACTGCAGCAATGGTCATGTTGAAAAGCCAAATCACAAACGGCACAATAACGGGTAACTCCATTATTGCATCAAGAAATAAACAATGTTATACAGCCAGCATATTTCTTCACTTGTTTACAGACGCATGTCAGTATTCTATTAGATTGTATTGTTCTTTTCTGTTTCCTTTGAGTCTGCCTGAATCAACTCATTTATTATTTCTTCTATATCAGCCTCACATCACGCTGTATTGTCACAATTTTGAAAGATTGATTTCTTTTTGCTTTCCCACCATGAACACAGATACTGAAGAATGTCTCTCGTAAAATGAATGCTGTTTGCTAACATGTTCCTTAAAAATTGTTACTTGGATAGTGACGATTCCCATGCCATGTGTGCAGAGTTGTTTTTAATGGCTGTCCCTTTAGGACACTAAGACTTGGATTAAACTATTTTGTTTCTGGGGAGTTACCAATTGAGGCCGTGCTCACAATTGAGATGAATGATGACCGTTCGCAGCAGGGCTTCAGGTACTGACCAAGTCAGCTCAGAAAATCAACTTGCAAATTAAAAGAAAAAATCAGCCATCAGTCATTCAAATGGTTTGGAGTGTTCAGATAGCATTCCTCACCTGGTTTTTATCCATTTTAAGGCCACGATGTTCAATTATACTTCTTTAAAAAGTTTTCAAGCTATTTAAAAAAAAAAGTGAAGCTTTTAATAGAGAATAACCACATTCTGGTGCTTGCTTTGCATCAAAACCATTTTATGTTGAATTACTTTTCTTGCAAGGAGCACAATCAGTCCTAATCTGATGGTGGTGGACAACGTATTCAAAATTACATGCTGAATTTTTTGGGAAGGGGGATTTTGTCAGATGTGGATCGTTTGTGAACTCATGCACTATTTGCACCAAAAGCAAAGCCATTAAAATATATATATGGCCTTGATAAGAAACATGAGAAATATATTTGGACTCAAGATGAAGCCCCGAGTTAAGCCTTCTTCTACTAGGAACTAAAAATAGCAGATATTTGGATTGACCAGTCACTGAAATGTTTGCAGCTTGTGCATAGACATCATTCTTCTGTTCCAAAGCATCACAAGTGCCCGCACAAATAGTTAGGTGCCCTTATGTTCTTCATCTATCTACCTTTTCACTTATTGGGTATTCAATCTATAGAAAAGGGGATGCTTCTGTTTGGCTGTTCTGTCTGTGTTTAAATGACATGTTTTTTGTGATTTCATTTGACAGCAACACGTGACACTGTGCCAACCCATGAAACCCACTCCTTTGATATTAAACCTTCCTCACTGGTAGGTTTAAAATATATATATATATATATATATATATATATATATATATATATATATATATATGTGGTGCAGGCATTGCCATCCTAAAAGCTGCCATGTGTATTTTCCTGAACTTGCATGTGTCTCCTTAATTACCACCTGCAAATCAATAGGGCCAAAACCAGTGGGGTCAGTCATCCTCCCTTTCACATTCCCTCTAGTCGTATATTTGTGCAGCTCAAACTAACGTTGAGATCACTTTTAAAATGATTTCCATCTTTATTGAATGGCTTTACTTCATTCCATATGATTGAAATGTTGTATCCATGACAAGTAATCAATTGTGGGTACCCAAATGTTCTATTAAGTATTTTCTATCCACAACAAATACAAATGCAAACCAAGGGGAACCAGACAGTTGTCCCTATTTTGCATCTCTTCGTTCCCTGCATTGAATGCCCTGGAGAATCAAACTGGGTCTCCGTTATTAGAGCGTCATAGTAGGGGAAAATGGAAGTCCAACTTCTCTCTTCTTTCTACCTTTCTAAATGTCCTTAATGTCTCACTCACTGCTGTCCACTGTCCATGCTTCATTTTCCTGTTTCTCCTGTCCGTGGACCATTTCTTCAGTGGTCACTGCCCACTCCCTTTTGTACATAATGTAAGGTTATTTATATTTCATTCCTGTCTGCTGCCTTATATTTTCTTCTCCCTTCACCCTTCTTTTAATAAAAAAAACAATGTATATTGAACTGTATCGGGACCATTTTGAAATGTATTAGATATTTTGTTTTGGCCATTTTTAATTTGGTAAAACTGTCTTAAGCAAATCCTATTTTTAATTTGCCAATGTTTGTTTCTGGTGTTTTGATATTCAACATTTGAATATATGTATATATAATTATATATATATATATATAATTATATAATGCCCAATGGCCTTTTTAAGCAAGATACTGTTCAAACCTAATAAAGTGCTTGAGATTGTATCACTTGTCTGTATTTCTTATCATTTTAACTTCTATAAATATAATATTAGACGCAAACATGCATCAGAGAACTCAAATATGTAAGTGCAGTGTTTTTGCTCAGTTAAAGTTGGGACAACCTGACGCTCAGTACAGTTCACATCTTATTGAAGACAAATGACACAGTGGTGTAGTAAAGAGTAAAGAGTGTAGAAAAAACAATTGTTTGTGTTGATGTGTTGTCCTGTTAAAGGGTTTTTAATCTGTGGTTAACCCTTCACCCCCTGATCAAATAGGAATGTGCTTCTTGCACCAATAAATAACTGAAATGGGAACAATTAAGTGTTTGTGTGGAAATTAAGACCCTGGAATACATTTCAGGAAAACATGTTCACATCAAGGTATTGCTATTGGGTTGTGTATTATTCAGTCCGGTGGACTTCTTCTTTGGGATTTGTCAACAGTAGACCCTGCAACCCTGCTGTGATTTTTCCAACTATAGATCGGGAGATGGAAAGACATGCAGTATAATTTATAAAGAATGTGATGAATAAGGCAGCGTGACATTATTGAGGATCAAAAAAACGTTGGTTTCTTTCATGCATTAATAGACTTTTGAGTGACAAATCCTTTAATGTCAAGCATAATCTGTACATGAAACTGAAGCAAATGTATAAATCTGTTAAAGGTTTGAAGGGATTTAAGCTGTAAAAAGAAAGTAAAAGGTGTAAATTAAACATTCACCATCGGCACTATAAATATGGACAAATGTGGTGGAAACAACAGGAAAGGAAGAGCACTTAGCGAGAGCGCTTACCTGTCTTCTAAAGGTAAGTGCTCTCGCTTCACACCAACTGTCAGTCACGTGTCATCATTGGTGCATCTTGGAGTCATCACGCTTCCATAAAAAGTCCCTATAGTCAACAGCAGCATGTCACGATGTCAGACGCTGCCTGAGTACCAACTGGCTCTGCATCTAAAATACCTTTCCTTCCGCTAATTGAGAGGTATGGCATTCGTGGCCTTGACCGGAATCCACTGTTTGTTCCCCTGTTATTAGATGTGCCGCTGTTTCCGCTGGCCAGAGGGTCATCCAGGTCAAAGGGAGGATGTGTGATGAGACAACGTGGTGAAAACAAGTGAGGAAATTGGAAATGTTAGGTTTTATATTCTGACAAGGACCTGTAGTTTGATCTGAGTAACACGGTTAAATGCTATTAGACAGAGTTAATTGTCAGCAGGGCCCAGACTGCAGAGGCCAGAAACTATTGAACCCCAGAATACATTACATATATTCTGTGGAATATATGCAGCAAGGAAGACTTTGTTGAGATGCGTTTGCTTCAATGGTATCAAAATAAAGTACACATGAATAATACTGTTTGTTATTAATCTGCTAATTGAGTTACGTGAATGTGTTCAGAATGACATGATTTGGCGGTGGGTATTGGTGACTCCCGGGGGTGTCGGTGCTATTTGCAGGTTATAATTGGAATCGGCCACGTCTTCTGGACCCCTTGTCCCCAGGGATCATTCATTTGACAGCTGGGAACAGGAGGACGGGAGAGGTCAGCGATGGGCGGGGCAATTAGGGGAAGATAATGGAAATGTGCATTGGGACAACTACATATATTCAGGAGGGGGATACGGTTGAAGATAATCTCTAAAGTATTACACTTGAGAGAGACCTTTAGCTGCTGACCGACTGAGACGCCAGCAGAGTGAGCTTCTAGCAGGACCACTAGGGACACCTGTAGTGATAAAGTGGTGAGACTAAGGTAAGGACCCTTTTTACACTTCTTTGTAACTTTGCTGTACTTCATTAAAATATACATAGTTATCATTTGGAGAAGTACAACTTTGGATGTCATTAAGACCGAGCTTCAATAGAAGATGTATATTTAAACAGGACTTTCTTTGTCTCTAAGCAATAACTTGATATGTTAGGCTTAATATTTGTTCAGCAGTTTAACATTTGGCCTGAGAACTGTATATTTTGTCTATTATTATCATAGGAAATATAGGAAAACAATTTAGCAAAAAACTAGCAGTAGAATAAGTAACATTTATATGTCTTTGTCTGCGTTGCTGGACTTGAGTGTATATAATTGTTATGGTGACATTTCTACTCTACATACAGTGTAGTATTTTGAGTTTTTATTGCATACAACGTTAAATCACAGATATTATTTCAATTTATATCTTCTGCCACACATTCTAGTTCAAATTGTAATATTGGAAAATAATAATATAATCTTATTTAATCCCTCCAGAATCTGATTTGATTTCCTAAAGGTCGAAGACCCTTTATTGTAAGAGTTAATCGATGGTCCATCTTTGCCTTTAGGTTGGAATATCATGTGTGTATCTCGGCTGGTTTTGCTGCTCGGGCTGCTTCTCTGTGTTGGAGCTCAGCTGTCTGACGCCCAGCACTGGTCCCATGGTTGGTACCCTGGAGGCAAGAGGGAGGTGGACTCTTTCGGCCCGTCGGAGGTTCGGGATTTGTATTTGTGTGCCCGTGTGAATATAGTTCTCTCATTCAATCGAATGGATATATTCTTTATGTCTACTCTTCCCTCATATTCTGAATCTCACTCTCAGATTTCAGAGGAGATTAAGTTGTGTGAGGTGGGAGAATGCAGCTACTTGAGACCCCAGAGGAGGAATATTCTGAGAAACATCATTGTAAGTGAACTGTTGTGTCCTATTCAGTGCTGTATGTAGGAGGATTGCATGAACAGCATTATAAACTTATGTTATGACATAAATGGCTGCTTAATAACTAATGTCTTAATTAGCTGCTACAAATGCATGTCAATATAGTTTGTTTGATTAGGCCATGAGTGGTATATGACCACTCTCATTAAGTTATTAGTGTAAAAATGTGGAAAATCTAATTTAATCATCTACACAATGGGGAATTTTTTTTACTTATCTTAAAAGAATGTGTCTTCTCGCAAACGTACACAGGTGCCATTCTGTTGGCAAAATGACTCGCACGTCTATCAAAAGAATTGTTCTTTCAGTATAGTGTGTCTCATATTATACTGTATTACTCTTCACAGTTGGATGCCTTAGCCAGAGAGCTTCAGAAAAGAAAGTGATGGCTTTTTACACTACACTGCTTTCCTAGAGAGTGAAAAACACTTTACGTTGATTCTATGATGTTGTGTCATTGTTAAATGTGTCAGTGAATTGGGTTTTCCCCGTGGTTACAGATGTTGGATTTGCAATGTCCTAAAATAAAATTTTGATATGAACTTCTTCTGTATGTGCATATGAGTGTGCGCGTGCGTGCGTGAGAGAAAGAAAGACATTCTATAGTAAATGTTAAGGGAAAAGTTGGGAACCTGGATGGGAAAAGCAGCAAAAAATAGTAATGTATGAACTCCATTTAGATGTTTTGTCTGGCATTGTGCATGATGGCTCTTGGTTTATTATGACAGTCGAATAAAACATTTGAACCATGCCAACCGACAAAAACTGGACATACCTTTTTGATTATTTCTCTAATTATTAAAAGAAAATATGTATTATTTGGAGATTTATTGAATAGATTTTTAAATATTTTTAGTAAATACAAAAAATCAATAACATTTGAAATAATTAAACATAATCTAAGTAGTGTTATCCGTACGCCGTTATTTAGGTAATATTGACACAATTCTGCGCGATCTACGGCAATTTCCCGTTTCAGCGAACGTCATCATTAATACGTCACTACGCACGCACACAGAAAAACATGGACGATAGAAGTGTCTGTACTCCGCTGCTTGCGGAGTCAGACACTCAAAATACCACTGCTAGTTCCCCTAACGCGGCTTCTGTCACAAATGCTGGCAAAGTAATAAACACTCAAATAGATAGCACCCAGGTTGAAGGTGAGTTTTGTCCACAACTTGGACATTCAGCTGTATTGTGTCCTAACTGCCGAGCCAATGTTAGCTTTTTGGCTAACTGGCTAACCAGCTCAATAATCAAGTGAGCTAACGTTAAGTTACGCTAGCTCCTTGGCTAACTGCGCTAATGTAAACTGCTTTAACGTTAGCTTCAACGTTAAAAGTTAGGCACAATATATACGTACATGACTCTTTCAATATTCCGCCAGTGAAAAGGCCCTCTTAATCCATAGACCTCGTAAATAGATACAAAGTTAAAGAAGTTGCTCGTTTTGCGAGGTCCGTGAGTGGTCGGTCGATTACGTAATGTCTCGCGTTCTTATGTTAAAACTCGCAAACTTAATTCCCGACCCCAACAACCTTCTGGTTTCATCAACCTCAGTCACATACACGTGGTTAATCCCAGCCGGTTGTCCATCCAGTATTTAATAAATATTAGTATTTTAATAAATAACTTCGTCACCTTGGTTGACGATCAATTGTATATTGTCTCCGGCATAAAGATGAAGACAAAAGACTGGAATTTAAGAGCTTGTGGCAAAATGTGTTCTATAAAAGGTTTGTTTATTGTGTAAACAACATTCGGAACGTATTAAAATAGCTGGATGGATCTCAGGCTTAGACAACGCGTATATTTCGATGCGTTTTGGCCTTTCATTTACACAAAAACGGAGGTTTTATCACGGAAAACGATCATTTCTAAAAACTCCGGCCGAAGTGGAGATTTCTGAAAACTCCGTTTTTGTGTTTGCGTGTGAACGAGGTCCAAAGGAGTTTTAGGTTGTCAAACGTCACAGTATGCGACTTGTTGTTGGTTTTGAGAATTCTGATTGGTCTGCATGTCTTTATCCTTCTCGTTACACTGCCGACTACAGGTTTGGCATAGTTATGATGGCGTCCGGGGCCGTATCTTTTTTTAAAAACGGAGGGGCAGAAATATTCGTTTCTGTAAAAACCCGGCTATGTGTAAATGTGGCCTCAGTCGCTGGAGTTGTTATTGAGTCTAAAAATGGCCATTTGTCCTTCCCTCTCAAGATAAGAGTGTAAAAGAAAAATAAATTGTTTGTAAACATTGTACACATTTCGAAATACTGTATCCAAAATCCCTCTGGTCTTGATAACTGCTACTGTGATTATCATTTGGTAAGTACAGTATTTGAAATGTATCAACCGATAGGAATATTTTGGCATATCAAAATGTGCATTCATTGTTTTACTCCTGGCAGATCTTAGTTTATTTGAGCTGTAGTTATTTACATAGATACAGAGGGAAATGCTGTATGTTATTGCATTGTCGTCCTTTTCCAATACATCTGAGTTCTGCCAACGTCAGTATTTGGACTGCAGATATTTCACAGGTCTGATTCCAATTCCATTTTTTTCTTACTTCAATTACACATTTGATAGGCCTCCAGTGGCCATTTTCAGTATTGATTTATATAGTTGTATCTTTTGATAATCAGCACCAATTATATAGCATATCAAATGTTTTACTAAATTAAAAAATTTTTTTTTGATTATTTGAGTATTTAACTGATAATTTAAGATTTTAACATTTCTATTCACCACAAGGCATAAAGGTGATTTAATATCATACAACAATAAGACATATATACAATTATCTTAGTGCAGAATACATTGTTAAACCACGTAAGAAACCTTGTCATAGTAATATTCTGAAAATGAGTTATTGGATGCAAGGATGGAAACATTGAGTTTCATCGTAATACCTCAGTTTGTATTATGATATAATGATTTAATCTAAAAGTGAAACCTTTAACCTGTTTTGGTGAAATAAACACACCCTCATAACCCAATATATGACCAAACAGTCGAGCAATTATGAATAGTACACATTTTTGAGTGCTTTGTGTTGCAAATGAAAATGAGCTTGGTATGATGAATGTACACACAGATGTGTATATATACATCTATAAACATATACAGTACAAGTCAAACATGTGAACATACTCATTGAATGAGAAAATGTTTCCAAACCATGGACTGGTACACTATTATGTTTATATACATATTTATGTTCATACTATCAGGGTAAAGTGTCTGGCTGCTTCCTGCGTTCAAAAGCTGCATAAAGGGAGACGTGTGGTGAAAAATGAAAATACTTTAGACATTGAATAAGTAGATTTGATTCAGTAAATTATGAAACTAACTTTTTCTCACAGTATTAATACGTTACAATTAGTGTTTTTGCCGTTTCCCACAATAACTATCTTTCTTTAAATTGGTCCAAGAACATGATGCATTTTAAATAAATTAAATACATTGAAATTCCCTCTTAAAATGGGCCAATGCACCTTTCCATTTTACGGTTAGTTGTCGTTGCAATGTGTAGAACAGGAAAAGCTGCTTTGCTCACTGTTATCTTGTTCTATGCAGGATCATCACATGTTTGAAACAGTGAATATTATACCAATTCGATCATTTTTCAGCTTCTACTTCTTCATTAACCAATTTGTTCCCAAATAAATATAAATGTATATGTCAAAATCAGTAGTTTAAAGAAACAAGTGTGAACAAGTGAACAAAGAATACAGTAATGTAATATGAGGATTACGTCATACATACATCAATGATCTTTCGGCATTTTCTCTGAGGCTCAATGGTGACAGTGACGGTGTATTCTGCCACACAGGAGACGAGCGACTGGAGGGTCTCCTCACTGACGACTACTGCCATGTGTGCGAGGCTGTGCTGCTCTTTGAGTCTCAGCGGCTGTCGCACTATGAGGTGTGTGCCGCCTTCCAAGCACTGCTCATTGTTGTGCATTTTAGTCTCAGAGCCTGAATGAAAACATCTCCCGTATCTCCCGACCACAGGGAAAAAAACATGCTCAGAAAGTCAAAGTGTACCTGCAGGCCGAGAGAGCTGAGGACATGGACATCAGGTCAACGGGACTCCAGGTGTGAACCCTTTTAGTCAATTGACTCTCACACATTTAGATGCAATGTTAAACTTTAACTTTGGCAAGACGAACTTTACCAAAGAAGAAACATAAAGCACAATGCTGTGAGTATTTACCGTTGAGTGTCGTTCGAGTGCTTTACTTCTCAAAAGAATATGGGGAGCACAGAGAAGGTCTGAAGAATCGTCCCAGGCACCTAGTTGTCTTTTCTCATTGTTTCCAGGTTACATGGTAACATCAGGAGGCATATATCTGTCTCTTGTGCTTGTTTATTTCAGCAGACCACGACTACTGATAAGGATCGTTTCTGTGAGCTGTGTAAAATGGTGTTTAGCTCCCACGTGGTCGCAAAATCACACTATGAAGGCAAAGTCCATGCGAAAAATCTCCGTAAAGAAGGTCCTCAGCCGCCAGGCAAGTGGCCATTTTGTGATTGAAAGGTGTTATGAATTTTGATATTATCTACTCAACAGTAAATTTTGTTGACAGAATATAAGTTTAGCTTCACTTAACTTCAGAAGACAAGACAAATAACAGTAAATTAACAATTTCTTGTTGCAGTTGCAGACATGAAGCCAGAGGTGCAGACTTTGCCAAGTCTGATTCGGGATCCTGGTGGTGCTCAACAGAAGTCCGCCCCACAGAGTGATGTGAAGCATCTCCTGGACCCAGCAGCTGCCCCCAGCGCAGGCATTGACCTAAAAGACCCCAACAAGTTCTGTGCCATGTGTGCTGCTTCCTTCAACAATCCGCAAATGGCTCTGCAGCACTACAACGGACGCAAACACCAGAGGAATCAGGCCAGACAGGACCTGCTCAGAGAGCTCGGAGACGATGACCAAAAAGGTAACACAGAGCGGTGTTAATAATATGCAGCACATCACACCCAACCGCCATATTGAGGTTCAGAAAATGATTATGAATCAGATAGGACATTAGTTTGACACACTACATGTCAGTGCCCAACTGTGAGAAAAGGAGACCAATGACATCAGTAGAAGTAGGAAACAGTGTGAAACCTCAGATCAAGAAGAAAGCGAAGGAAGCTGAATATCTGAGGGCTTATAAGTAGTTGCTTTGTATCCTTCATGCTGTCTCTCTCTCTCTGTGTTGTCTGCAGCAAACTCCCTGATGTGTCAGATGTGTAGCCTGCAATTTAACTCTGTGGAGATGTACCAGGCCCACATGCAAGGGAACAAACACCAGATTAGGTAAAATCCATCGTTTTCCTACAAACACTCCACTGTCCTAATTTATACTCCACTTGGAATGTAATCTGTGGTTACTTGTTGTTCAATTTGTATTTCTAGAGACACGGCAACTTTAAAGCAGCAAATTCCTGTTTAGCAATAGTTCAGATTAATATCAACACCTCACCACTTTTAGCTGATTGTCACTCATGTTTTGGTTTTCAGTCCAAATATGAATTGTGTAACCGAGTCCCATGGCCATGTTAAATATTTGAATGAGGTGTAAAGTGTGCATAGCCTGCTGCAGTTAGCTACAGGTGCAGGACTAAGGAAGCATAACAAAGAAATGCCTTTGCTTTTACCATGAATGAAACCCAGTTGGACCTAAGTAGAGTAAGTTAGACAGACAGCTGATGATAATAGAAGAATTGGTTTCTGTACATTTTTTATGCTTTCCAGTGACACAAAATACTAAATGTGGCTTTAGTTTAACATCATTTATCAGCTAATTGAACATAACAGCAACATAATTTGTGCTTGTATGTTCCTGGCCAGGGAGAAAAAGGTTGTGAATCTTTGCAAATCACAACAAAAAGACTACAACACATTTGCAGATGAACTGGCCGATTACGTTCAGGTTCAGAAGGCTCGTGGAATCACCCCCAAGGCCGGTCAGGTCCTCCCTGCGGGGGACCTACGAACAGAGGGGAAGGAAGGTGATAAAGAGGAGGAAGCCTTTCACATGGGGGACAGCACTGAACTCAACCTGCGCATGCCTCACCTCCCTCCCCCCTCCAACCCTCCTCATCACTCCCACCCCGGCGGTTACTACCCACTACTACACACAGGGTGGCGGCCTCCGTATCAGGGCTCCCCGCGGCCTTCCCATCACTGGGATTACAGCTTCCCTCCGGCGGTCCCCGCGGGGACGAGCTCTCCACGGTTCACCAACCCACCCACAAACAGGACGAGGCGCAGAAGGGAGTTGAGCTCCTCCTCGTGTACCACCTCGTCTTCTTACTCCTCCTACAGCAGTAGCTCAAGTGACAGCGATGTCAGCGAATTCAGGCGCAGAGAGAAGAGGAGAACTAGAACATCCGGGAGGGAAGGAGACCGGAAGGCAAGGGATGAGGATTCGGACAAGGAGAGGAAGAGGAGGAAGCGACGAAGGATGGAAAGAGATGATGACGAAGTATCCGGAGAGTCCGAGAAAGAGGGCAGCAGAAAAAAGCGGAAAAATCACAGCAAGCAGAGAAAAAGAGAAAATAAATGCAGAGAGGAGGACTTTGAGGTGGAAGGAGGGAAACGGGTGACGGACAATTTAATGCGAGAGAGCATGATGCTCAGTAGGAAGGAGACTGGAGTGCATATTCATGCTGAAATGAATGTTGAACAGGGGGAGTGTGGACAGGACCAGCCAGCCAAAGCGAAATACAGGAAAGAGAATAAGAAAATCAAAATGAGAGCAGACACGAGGTCAGAGGAGGAGAAGCTGTGGGATGACTCCATTCTAGGATGTTGAACTAATAAACTGTTGAGCAAAAGCATTAAGGTATTGTGAGCAGGACGTGTTAAATACCATAAGCTGTCTATTTTGAGAATATTCTTGACAGCCGTCAAGGAAGCAGTTTTTATTATCGCTCTGACAGCCAAACGAGTTGTCTGTGGGTGTGCTAGCTGGCTAGCCACGTTGAGTCAATTTGTGCTTTTTAAGAATGAATGATTGGTTTCTCATACATAACCACAGCTTTAATATCTTTATTTTCCACTAAGACACTTCATAATGTATTTGATTTAATTAATATTCACATATGTATTCATTGTTTGCTATGATAAATAAGAATCCGATTTTTCTTGCCTATCATTTGAAATGATCACTAAGTACACTTGACTTACCAATTCATCAATATTGCTTCTGTGCTTGTGGCGTTTAGCAGCCTGAGGTGGGCACTGTCGAGCTTCATTCAGAGCATCAGTACCGCCAATAAAAGCCCACAGATGTTAGAGACTTACTCGGTTCACTTCCTTTGAAACTTGTGCTCTCAGAGGAACACAGACGTTTTAAAGACGGCTGTCAGAGGACACCGCAGACAGCCGAGACAAGTGCAGCACGTTGTGGATCAAATTGAATCGGTTGATTATTGAAAGATCTCTGCAGCACATCAAGACTGTTTTGATGAGACATTGCCCTAGTCTACAGCGCACGTGTTATAGATGCATTTGCACATCCAAATTGGTGTTTGGGGTCAGACAGGTGCAAAAGTTAAAATGAGGACATCTCTTGACAACATTGGTTTACGTGTATGATCTGTGATGAAACAAAGGAAGTTTATGCCACTTAAAGACAACTGAAAAAAAAGGTAACGTCAAGTTGTAAACCATCCTTTGTCTTGTGAGGATACACTTGAACTACTTTTTTTGTTTTAAATAGGCCAACAGAGCGTTTGACCTTTTTTGGCAACACACCAATTTCATCAAAGAACTAGTTAGTGGTTTTTGTTTCTATTTGACTATCAGCTGGGTGGTTTGTGGACCACACATGCATCATACCTGTGTGTGTCACACTGGGGTGTTACCATGATGACTCAGGACCCTGCCAGCTCAGTTCCTCCCATCACCTCTGACAGATAAAGATCAGGAAAAGAATGTATCCGCAGAATCCCTCAGCTGCCTTTCAAGATACGCAGACACGTACACATATCGGTGACCAGAGAAAAATGTCCGCGCTGCCATTAGCGTGGACGCTGCTGACTGTGTCGCTGACATCAGGTAAGACCTCCAAGGTTCCCTGCTGATTCGTAAGCGACGGCCGTTCTTTCGCAACTGTCAGTGGCCAGCATCCAGCGATGTGTTGTTGTCTACTCAACCAGAAGCCTTTCTGAAGTTAAACTTGAATCATTTTTTAATTGGTTGAAAACGATCATAACCATTGTATATAATAAGATATAGATAGATTGGAAGGTTGTTTTTAATGGTACAACAGGTGACTTGGTTCACACAGATTAGCGGCGTAGCCTTCGGATCCTTTGCTAAAACGGTCAAGCTTCCATGGGAGTTATTTAAATTGTATCTCAGTATTGTACTGGCATAGCTCATTAATTCTGTTATTTATTTATTCATTTCATTAATGTAATGTGTCAAATTTACAAGACAATTCCTGTTGTCAGTATTGGATTATGGTAGAAATGATTAATAACGTATCAACACGCCGAAGGGGGAAGCACTTTGTTCTCTTCCCTGGAATAAAATAAAACTTCTTGCTGGCGTTTTCGCACAATACAATTAACATGTGTGGGTTGGTGACACGCAAGCCAAAACATGCGGGCGTTTTATTTAAGTATTTCCCACCTTCACTTGTCGATGAGTTGCAGGTGTAAGTCTGAAGTTAATCTCTCGTAACTCCTCTGACAACCACCCAAACGCTTAGCGAGCTCGTCTGCAGTGCCTCCAAACAGCAGCATTCTAACATTCCTCACGCAGGCCTCATAACAGACTGTACGTCCACCGACACAACACATCACCTGCTCCTGAACGTGGCCAAGACCAGAGAGATGGTGGTCGACTTCGGGAGGAAGACGACGGCTCCGCTACCGCTGAGGGTTCTGGGAGAGGAGGTGGCCATGGTCGAGGACTACAAGTACCTGGGTGTCTCCATCGACAACAGACTGAACTGGAAGACCAACATCATCGCCGTCTACAGGAAGGGGATGAGTCGACTCTTTTTCCTGAGGAAGCTTCGATCCTTCCATGTGTGGAGCAAGATGTTGGAGATGTTCTATCAGTCTGTTGTGGCCAGTGCTTTGTACTTCGCCGTGGTCTGCTGGGGGAGCAGCATTGGAGCCGGTGACACCAACAGACTTAACAAACTTGTTAAGAAGGCCGGCTCCATCATTGGCTGCAAACAGGACAGCTTGGAAAAGGTGTTGGAGGGGAGGTCACTGAAGAAACTGTTATCCATATTGGATAATCCTGACCACCCCCTTCACCACCTGCTACAGGGACAGCGGAGCACGTTCTCCAACAGACTCCTTCAGCTCCGCTGTCACAAGGACCGATACAGGAGGTCATTCCTGCCCAGTGCAATAACACTCTACAATAAATCATCCCAGGCTAAATAATGACAATAACAACCCTGTACTGCTGTGATGTTGCTGCTCTTCCTCTTCTCCTTTTACAAATTATTATTATTGTCTTTTTTGGAAGGTTATTCTTTTGTTTCAGTTTTAGTTTATTTAACTTAATTTAATTTAATATTTCTATCTTATTGTATTGTATATAATGTGTATCTTTTTATTCTATTTTCTTCCCTGTACATGCTGCTGTGATACCAAAATTTCCCTCTTGAGGGATCAATAAAGTATCAATCAATCAATCAATCACATACAACTCAAGCTGCTTTTAGCACATGCCTCACACATCGTTGTATTGCTGCTCTGTAACATTATGTTTTGCAGTTTGGATTTTCCAGAAAAGCTGAAACACTTCAGCAGAGCCTTCTACCTTTATTCAAGGGGAATAAGTATATATATTCTTGGAGGAACAGGGATTAATGCAGGATTTTTCCCAAACAGCAAAGATGAGGCCATACAAAGATGAGGCCGCGCGCTCCGGCGCTAACGGCCGGAGCGCGCGGCGCCTCAGCGGTGAACGATAACGGTTATGACTCAACCGTTTACCGTTACGTTAGTTCACTGGATAGGGGCTGAATAACAATCTCATCTGTCGGCGGTCAACCAACAAACAAAAAAACAGCGAGCCTTTGGTAAAAAGAAACAGCACTTCGAGAAAATGTGGTCAACTGAGTTTAGGTAAGCAGAATATGAGTTGCAATCATTTTAGACAAGTTAAAAAGAGGTAACGTTAACTTAAAAGTTGAACTAACAGTACCTCCGCGCTACCGTTAAGTTATATCTGTAACGGCAACCGCAATAACGTTAAATTAACGTTAGCTCTAGCTTTAGCTAGACTAATGTTATTTTCGATGTTATTTAGCTTAGACCAGGCAATGTTTTCACAAGTTAATGTTAACCCACTGTTAACGTTAATCTGATCCAACGTTAAGTTAACAGTGACGTAACTGGAAGTTAACGTTTGTAACCGTTAACGTTATCATTACAGCACACACACACACACACACACACACACACACACGCACGCACGCACGCACGCACGCACGCACGCACGCACGCACACACACCCGCGCGCGCGCGCTATGTAACGTTAACATAACCAACTTTAACGTTAGCTTTGTGACATAGCACAGACATGTTAGCTTGACAGCTATTCAACGTAACCTTACGTATTGAAAAGAGTATTGAAAGCCAACAAACGTTAATTTATGGTAATTTGACTTCAACGTGTGTTGGGCCTGTGGCACGAGTATCGAACGTTAATAATGGTAACGTTAACTTCAAAGCCGTTTAATGTATAGTTTAGCTTAGTAGTAACATTAATAGTTAGTATTCAGTCTTTAAGTACAATGCATAACACATATATACAAACTAATATAATGATTACATTGTTACTTAAAAGGTAACGTTGTAAGCAGAATCATAATGCTTATATATTCCAATCCTAAATTGTTATCAATTAAGTTACCCTCAAGACGTTTTGATTAAAAGAAAGAAAAAATATAACGTTATATAACTTATAACTTACGGCCAATTTGATTGATTTACGGTCAATTTAGTATCTCTCATAGTTACATAGCTCATGTATGGAGAAAAAACGTTGTACACAGTCTGGCAGTGACTTTGCTTTTGATTTGAACATTGTTTGCATTCTTTTATAATATGTCAAATCAAACAAGGGGTTTGTGTGTTCATAAAAAACAGCCTGATTCAATTTATAAGTGTTTTATAGATTGAACCCCACACCTCCACAACATATGGTATGTAAGGAAGTATAAGTGAGCATTACATGATATGAAATGCCTTAGAAGTAAATCTCTTAATTTATACAGTATTGCTATTGACTTTAAAATTGTACCATTAATAGAATCAATATATCGTCTCCATGTTACTTTATGTTCTAAATGTAAGTTAAGTAAACCCCTCAAACATAAATGTAAGCCTAACCCAACTTTAGGGGGAAATTACTACTTATTTGGCGTTATCATAGGCTAAATGGATGTAGAAAACAATCTCACGTGGCAGTTTGGGTCAACTAATTAGTTTTTAAAAAAGTAATAAAAAAAAATTGAACCAGAGAGAATAAGCAGAGTGACTGATTGTTTTTCAACAGCAAAGGGGGTGTTGCCTGAGCTCTTCATGATGGATGCACATAAAAAGATAAACAAGCATGGTGGTCAGGTAAGTTAACACCTTTATGAGATCATTGGCTTTCAGAACACATGTCAATGCACCCATTAAAAGTATGACGTTTTGTTATGCATTCTTACTTGTGTAAGATAATTTCTGTTGTTTACAACCCATGTCTTTCTCAGTCCAAATACCAGCAGGCAAGAGAAGAGCGAAAGATGCTCCTCACCCCTGCACACAAGTACATGATTGACATCCTGGCTGAAAGGCTGGATCTGAATCCAACGACAGTAGAAGAATTTATTTTAGATTCTTCTGTGAGTTTTTCAATTGGGATACCATTAGTATCATATAAAGCCCCTTTCCCACAGGACACCCCCCCCTATCTAGCTTTTTCATCAGTGGGAAAGGTCACAATCAGCATTCATTCCTGGGTCAAATTATTGCACTAGTCATTAGTATTTACTGGCTCTAGCTCTGATTGGCAGTGAAGGAAACATTACACCCTGGTGGACACGTTTATTATCCACCTGTATTCTATTGCGATGGTATATGGCGTTTATTGAAGTGAATAAATAATAAATAACATCAGCACAGGTTTACCCATTTATTATAATATTTTAACACATACAATTTATGCTCTCTCCTCAAAGCCAACAGACTTTAATCAGAGAACATCGTTAAACAGACTTCATCGAAAGTTGACAGAAAAAAAATTGAACTACAATCGCCTTGTTGTTCTTTTCACTATTCCAACAATAGGCAGAATAATAATAGAAAGATATAACCAAAGATATAACCACAACATTTTCACTGTTTACTAAATGCATCTGACTTTGAACATTACATAACAGGGAACAATGTTTTTTGGACAGTTTGGTTCCATACAATCAGGTTTCTGAACAAAATAAATGAAAAATCAAACATTGATAAGAGATCATTTTTTCACCTGGAAAATAATATTGGTCAGTTTTATCTTGTTATTTTACTATCCGGAACGAAAACTCTTTGCTCTGCTCTTTTTTGGCTTCACTCTGTTAGCCATGTGATATTACTTTGGCATTAATATACCTAAAGTATCAGCATTTGAACCAACATCAGTTGCTATTATAGTTACTAATACTACAATTTTCTCTCTAGTTGAATTTCTCTCATGCCCTCTAACTGTACCATTTATGTTTGCTTGCTCAATAGCTGGATGCTTTTGATAATTTCTTTGCCAAAGGAGGTTGTAAAACCATTTCCTTTGTGTATCAAGAGGCAGAAATACCAGGAATAGGTAGGCATAATTGCATTACAAGATTGATTTTGTTGGTCCTTGTAATGATGAACATTCAAACTTAAGTAAACATACGTATTAATTGTTAAGGCCTATCACTGTTTTTCATCTCATTAACATAAATAATAAAATACAATTTCAGAGTGTGGACGTTCATATCGTGGGCCCACCAAAGGGGAAAAAATATTGAGGCTGTTTTTAGCCGATCTGTCTCAGACATGCCTTACAGG